TAATGATTAAACACGCTTTGTCTGACGACCTGATAAACCGAAGATTACGAGTTCAAATCGAGGTGCTGGGGTACTTTTAGCTCTGGTATTAATCCCCCGCTCTCTCCCCTGGCTCGGAAAAAAACCTAATATAAATATAAGCTTAAAAGGCGGGTAAGGGAACAAAGGAAATTGTTTATGAAGTGTATTTTGTTAAAAACGCTTTTGATATGAGCCAGTGAATGCTTAAGTTTTGTAATTCATTTTCACAATAAATGAAATTAATTAGTGTATTATTTTTTTTACAGAGAAAATGAACCATTATTACTTCTAAGAAAAAAATTATTATTCTACACCTCAGGTCCAGAAATAGGAGATTGCCAAAGAGGCAAACTTAATTTTTTAACATTTTATATCAATGTGTTACGAAATAAATATCAACCCCTGTCATCGACTTTAATATGGTCAGAACTATTAAGAAATATACGGAAATATTTTTACTTAAACTAAAAAATTCTATTGATATTGTAAATTTTCGAAATTCATGACTCAAAATCCTACCGACTGGAGAAATTCCCCTCTTTATCCATCCATAGTTCCGGTCTTGCTAAACCTACCTTCATAGAACATCAGATTTTGATCTCCACCACTTTTATATTTAACGGCTCCATATACTTTCTGCTGCCTGCTTACATAGTGTTGAGGAAATCTTATGTTTTTACTACACAACAAACATTCAATTGATACGTTTATTTGCTTTATTATATAATGCCAAGACAATAATTTCGATGACAGTATGCTTCTTCTCTAGGACCACCTGACAGAATTTAATCTTTTAAAATCTTTTCCACCCACTGGGTGAGTGATAATGCAAATATCTGTCACTAAAATAATTTATTTAAGAAATTGGACTTCGAGATTAGCTAGATTCCCTTTTTAGGTAGGAGAAACAATGATTTCAACGAATCAGTCCAAGGATTCACATTTTCCAAAAGATTTTTGAAAACATATAATGCATTCGTGCATGGTGACTGAAACTTTGATGTTAATATGATAAATGACTAACACCTCGGTGTTAAGTTCTCTTAAGGCACTTGTTACTTTCGATGATCATTTTAGATGAATCTTCTAATGTGATAAGTTTAGATTGGATTTAATTTTTGTTTCATAAAAAATGAACGTTGTAAATAGTCGAATTCTATACCACTCTGGATGAAAGGATCGTTTGGTCGTTTCTGGAACTGATGATTCATCCAAAATAAAGGTGTATTGAAAAAAATTAACAGTTCCGAAAAATCCCACCGTTTTTAAGATTATATTCTGTAGCGGTGTGAAGCTATTTTCGACAGTTCCTGAATCTAACTCTACCTATAAATCTTTTGATTAGTTCGTTATCATAAAATAATTGTATTAATAAAAATTTCATAGAACATCTACAAATATTAAATTATTTATTTACTGTTTTAAAACAATTTTCACAATTTCTCAGGGGTTTGTACCGTCCATTCTCCTGGGGGCATTTACGACCTAAGAGTTTTCCTCCTTTAAATTCTATCCATGGTTTCACTCATGAACTTCTTTGACCTTGTCGATTTTTTTGCATTCGGTTCATTAATCAACTCACTTAAAATTAAATCAATTCCCGCGCGTGTAATTATTTTATGCCTTCTCGCTGAAGAAGTTTTAAATACAGCGGTTTGGACAGAAGTGAGGTTCGAAATTATGAACGGTGCACTATTTTCCTTATTTGGACTTCAGTCTGAAAGCCCTATCTCGAATGCGCGAGCACTTCTCTTTACCAATTAAAAATCGCGCGTAGTACCGAAATCCTACCTAGCTAATCTGAAAATGGAAGACGCAAATCACGCAAATATGACGAATATACATTAAATCTGCAGGATGCTTGGACCTATTTTATCTAAATATCTGTATTTTCTATTTCGAAATTTTAAACGATGTTATAACATAGAAATTGTTGAATGAATAAATATATGGTGGACAAATGCCTAAATAGAGTTTTCACTATAAACTCAATAAAATTACTAATAGTGTTTCAACCGCCTCCCGCAGTGCCACATCCAACGCCCTGAAGACGACCTGCAAAGTGGGTCGAAACGTCGGCAAAAATTAAAATTATTTATATATTTTAATTTTTTTTTATTTTTTTTGACCGCACCCTCGACTAATTCCTTCTCAAAATTACTAATAATTTCCAATCTTTATATTTGCTTATTTTTTTTTTAGATATTATTTTGATAACGGGAATAATTGCCAGATAGCTTATCGGGAAGACTTAATTAGAACTCTATGTTATCTAGTTGTTAGTAGAAAGTTATTTGTTTCCAATGGGTATCAACCTATTTAATTTAAATGAGTTCGGAAAAGGAACAACTATCATGTCAAACTAGAGGATGGAGGTCATTAAAAAAAAGTCTTGTAAACAATGGACTATTGTCTTGTCTTTAAATTAAATCTATACAATATTTATCTATAGATTTATACCTATTTAAAAAATAAACATGATAATGTTCTTAAATATGTATATATATTTTAAGTTGGAATGTTTCCCTATTATTCATAAAAACTTTTTTTTTATTTTATTGCATGGGCATTTTATCAGCCAATATACCATTCCATACAAACAATTAGATTAACAATCTATATTATTTGAAATGATAAGCCTAAAAAGGATGAAAATAATTTCTGGTCGATTAGTTAATGTAAGTACAGTAGGAATTGTAGGGAGGTAGATATATGGAGGAATGGTAGAAAGACACAGCCAATTATAATTTGTATATATGTTTCGGTATATTATGTTGAATGAACCATTTTAACCGACATAAGAAAAGAAAATGAAATTTTCCTTCTCATTATACGTTGCATTTACTTATTTCCATATTAATTACGATTTGTTCACTGAACAATTATTCTTATATTTAAAATTTGTGGTATTTCAAATATTTATTTGTTATATACTATTTGCTATATCTAATACGTATTTATATTATTTCAAGGATTTTTTGTTGTTGTTATGCCATACTTATATTAATTCTTCATCAAATTCAATGAGCCATCATTTTGCAGATTATTTTTTCTTTAGGAAAAAATAAATACATACATACCTTAAAAATTTTGGGGAAAAAATTATGAAGGAAAGGAAATTTGATTTGTGCATAACTATAAAGTGTGCAATTTATGGTTGATTTAACTCATTGTTGTTTCAAAGATTCCAAAATTCTCTATAAAAATCACACATCAAAGTTAATTTGTATATAACTTTTTTTTTACATTGAGACTGTAGCCCCAAATCAGCTCTTTACATTAGGAATATTTTTAGGAATTATTCTTACAACCTTCCAAACGGTTTTGGTGAAAATTCTGGCACAATATATATTGATTGCTGTTGATCATCAGCATATCAATCTTTTTTTTTGTTTTGTTTTGTTTTTTGTTTGTTCTTCCCTACCTCGCCGTTTAGGCTATACGGGATTTCCCCGGGCCGGAGAGTGAGGGCGGGGAATTTAAAATCCCCTGTGGCACCGAGACGCGAACTCGTACTTATTTTTGTCTCTAAAAACTTCATATATCTGGTTGCCGGTCAACTCACGGTGCTGTGCACACACTTTAGCCCATTCGGCCACCCCGCCCCCTCATCATATCAATCTTTACCCCTAAGTACCTCTAGGCAGTGTGGGGTTGCTGTTTGTAGAGTCTGGACTAGGTGTCTCACTCTCTGACCAACTCCTCTTCTGCTCTAATCCTTATCACGACTCTTGAACATCTCTCCGACACTGTCCTCCCAAGATGTGCGTGGTCTTCATCTGGGTCTCCATACTTGCACACTGGCCTCATGTTTCTTCTTGGTGGTTCTTTCTTGATCTATCGTTAGATTGGTTTCTTCGATTCAGTTATATATGATGTATAAAAACCGTTTTCCTCTAAGATTTTTTTTTTAGTCTTCTCCATTTATCTTCTTTAGGTGAACTCTATTAGACAGCTAAATTAACTTTATAACTAGCATTTGCAATGTCCCAAGAGATGTGTAGTTTCTTATTATTTGAACAATCAATAAAGAGTGAACTGTTTTTTTTATCTTTTTTATATTATTTCTTAAAGGTGTTTTCTTGTTGTTATGCTATATTTTTGTTGATTCTAATCAAATCTTATGGTTGAATACATCTTTTTGAAGATTATCTGTTCATTTTGATAGGAAAAATGATCATATTCCCCGTAAAGGTCAGGAAGAAGGTTATAAAAAAAGGGAAACTTTATTTGTGCTGTAACTCAAAAATAATACTATTTATCTTTTATTATAATTTATCATTGTGTTAAAATGTCACGTGTGTTCTTTTCAAAATAACTGATTCAATTATATTGGTATTGAGTCATGGAATGGTGTTTGGTTACATTTTATCTTTGGCCACACCCATCCCAAACCACCATCTTCTAGATTTTGTTAGATTGGTTTCTTCGATGCAGTTAAATATGATGTATAAAAACTGTTTTTGTTAAGTTAGCTGAAATACAAAAATGGAACCATAGAAAATAAGCTACTGTCAGCACATATTAAATAAACAAACAGACTTATTGATTAAAAGATATAAACAAACTTATTTGTGTACCAGACTATAACTGTTTCCAATTTTTTTTTTAAATTTTTTTTTTACATGGAGATTTATCAATAATGGTTATTTTTCACACTCAGTGCTTAACATTGTGATAATATGTTAGAACTTAATGTTTTACTGATGCTAAATCAATATCAAGCTTGATTTAAAAGTTTTATGAATAGAGGAATTTTTTATCATTTTATAATTGTTTGGATTGTTACACTGCATCGACTGATTGGTTATGTTGGTAGGATTAATTAAATAGTGAAGTATTACTGTGTTAATTATCTATCTGGTATGAAGTTAAGATTTGTTAGTGTACTTAAAAAAGTCTCCCTTCCTTGGGTGAGTGTATTTATGTTTAAGTCTGTGTACATAAATTATAATTCATCTAAAAAATTTCTGTCGAAGGGTGCACCTGGAGGATCCAGTAGTGGAGGAGGACAAGAAAATCTTAGTGCTCTTCAGCGTGCTATTGATTCTATGGAAGAGAAAGGACTTCAAGAAGATCCTCGCTACTCACAGTTGCTCGCACTGAGGGCAAGGCATGCCAATATGGAACCTCCCGTCAGGCCTCCTCCTCAGGTTGTTGGGGTATTGTATTTAACTTTCTTATTTGTTTCGTTTGTTCTTAATTTATTTAAAATTGTTTTAAAAATAATTTATATTAAAACATAGGGTGGTTTCACTGGTGAGGGTGGTGCCCCTCCTCCTGCTAAACATAGCTTCAGTGCCAACCAACTCCAGCAGCTTCGGGTGCAAATTATGGCATATCGTCTACTCGCTAGAAACCAACCTCTTTCCCAGCAACTGGCATTGGCTGTTCAAGGCAAACGTTTAGACAGCCCTGGCGAGTCGAATTACCAGCATCCCCCGAGTGAAGGTTAGTTTAATCATTAGTAAAAGATCAATCACGTTTTGAACTAAACAATGGTCTATTGCTATTTTTTTAATATCTATTAAAGCACTTTCTTACACTTCTAAAATCATTCTATAATAAAATGAGTTTATTATGTCCCAGGAAGCAGAATGGTTTTTTATTCATTGTTTTTTTCAAACATCTTTTTTAAATTCTAATAACATATAGTAGTGATAATATCCATGTGTTCATAATTCCATAAATGATTGGTAAGTGTTTAAGAATTGTAATTTTCCCTCAGGTGCTGGGGTTGGCGGTGAAGGAGGAGGAGATGGGGCATCATCAAATGGTTTGATGACGCAACCCATGCGTCCGCCATGCCCTCCTGGTGGCCAGCCTCCTACTGCCTCACCCATGACGGGCCAAATGGCACCGCCTACAGGGCCAGCTCCCGTAAGGCCTCCTCCTCCTGGTGTCTCTCCTACACCCCCTCGTCCTCCACAGCAGGTTCCTGGTGGTCCTGGAGCACCACAGCCGAAGCAGAACAGAGTTACCACTATGCCGCGACCACATGGTTTAGATCCCATCCTTGTTCTCCAGGAAAGAGAGAACAGGTTAGTAAGAAGTCCTTATGATTATGATTACAAACAATTATTGTTTGTATTACTTACGTGTTAAATAAATTAAATTTCTATGTGTGTAGTTAACAGTAACTTGGATGGGTTTTGTAACTATCTTGTTTGTTTATTGGGTTTAACACTTCAGTTAGAACAAGAAATACTATTCATTGTAGATACATTTTCTTTCACAATATCATTTATTGAAAAAAAATTATAGTGGTATTTATTAACATAGTTGCAAAACCCAAAATATAATAGATAATGAAAAAAGTAAAATAACTTTTGTTTATTGTTATAATAGGGTAGCTGCAAGAATTGTGCATAGAATGGAGGAATTATCGAACTTACCTGCTACTATGCCCGAAGATCTTCGAATTAAAGCCCAGATAGAGCTTAGAGCCTTGCGAGTTCTGAACTTCCAAAGACAATTGAGAGCTGAAGTAAGATAAAAACTTTTTAATTTGTATATTTTCATTTAACCAGTGAAATTTACTTTCTGATTGTGCAGTTGTAAATAAACTCTACATAAGCATTTTAAAAAATATAGGTTTAAATTGTCCTAGTAATAAGTATTCTCATTGCTTATTATTTTATTGTTCTCATGTGCCTCAACAATAGTGGTGGTAGTCTCAAGAGCTAATAAATAAATTTTTTTTGCATGAATAAACCGGATTTCTGATCAGTTGCTTACTGCCCGAAATAGGGTTACATTTTAGTGAAATAATTAACTGAATTTTTAAACATTCTTTTAGGTGATAGCTTGTACCAGGCGTGATACAACATTGGAAACAGCAGTAAATGTGAAAGCTTACAAGCGCACGAAAAGACAAGGTTTACGAGAAGCAAGGGCTACAGAAAAACTTGAAAAACAACAGAAACTTGAAACAGAAAGGAAGAAGAGACAAAAACACCAGGTATTCCCTTATTTATTTTTATATTCACTATTTTGAAGACATATATATTAAAGAATAGGATAAAACTAACTCAAAATTAATTAAACAATTTTTCAGGAATATCTTAGCACTATATTACAACATTGCAAAGACTTCAAAGAATTTCATAGGAATAATGTCGCTAAAGTTGGTAGATTGAATAAGGCTGTGATGAATTACCATGCAAATGCTGAGCGTGAACAGAAGAAAGAACAAGAAAGAATAGAAAAAGAACGTATGAGGAGGCTTATGGCTGAGGATGAAGAGGGTTACAGGTAAAGAATTTTATTTATAAAACTCATTTATTATCTCTATTTTATGTAATTAATGTAAAATGGAACTAGCTTTTGGATGACGATCATTATTGGTTATATTTTTTATGACAGTACTGCATAGAAAAAAATATAAGATTAAATTTATTTTCGAGTTTCTAATATGAATAGTTTATATAGATTAAGTTTTTCAAATCATTTTGCTTAAAAAATTATCTAATTAAAAAATTGTTTACCTTGTCCCAAAGGAAATTGATTGATCAGAAAAAAGATAAAAGGTTGGCATTCCTTCTATCACAAACTGATGAATATATTGCTAACCTTACTGAAATGGTAAAACAGCATAAAATGGAACAACAGCGTAAACAGGAACAAGAGGAGCAACAAAAGCGGAAGGTAAATAATTACGCTTAATTAACACATCTTTAGTTTACGTTTTAAGTACTTAGGAAGCAAATTGATATTGAATTGAAGTAAAGTAAATATTGACTTACAATATTTTAGAAGTCATTGATTGATTTGTTTTATATAGTTAACTCAGCGCTCTTGGTGTTTATTTTAAAAGTTATTGAGATCATATTTCTATTTAGAGAATGGAGGAGTCTAACTAACAATCATACACCAACCTTCTATTTTGTTATGAACATTCTTTTTATTTTATTTTTTATCTCACTACTGTTAATGCTTGAATTTTGTATCATTGTGTTTTGTAATACATTATACTTACATTTTCATTTCATTTAATAATTATTATGTATTTTTTCAGAGGAAAAAGAAAAAGAAGGCTAGGGAAGGAGATCCTGATGATGAAAGCTCTCAGATGTCAGATTTACACGTTAGTGTTATTGAAGCATCAACTGGTAAGTTTATTACCAATATTCCCTGATTATACTTATTCTTGCTTATAGCTATTTTATTATTTTCTTGGTTTTTCAAGTACATAAATAAATGTAATAAACAATTTTCTTAGGTCGGCAGCTGACAGGTGAGGATGCTCCATTAGCTAGTCAACTTGGGGCTTGGTTAGAAGCACATCCAGGTTGGGAGCCTTTAGAAGACAGTGAGGATGAAGATGATGAAGAAGACAGCGACGAGGAAGGTGATGATAACAGTAGATCAAAAGGTTTGATCAACTCTAACTTTTTTTTTCAACTGGATTTACCAAAGTATATATTTTGGTGAAGTGAATATGACTTCATAGCGTGCATGAAAGATAAAATTTCCAAAATCACAGCCTGGTTCATTTTCCTATTTTTAACTCTTTTTGTACTAGCTCATCAAGAAATCCTTTCACCTCATGATTATTGAAACTAAATTAATAAATAATTATAATAAAATGTAATTGTTAATGACAAAATTATAACAATAAAATTTGGGAAATAAGTTGGGCTAGATTTGGAGTTTCTAGCATATGAACATTTAATGACTGTTATTTAAGTGATTAACTGAATTGCTTCATGTCATATGCTCTTGAATCTTGACTGAAATTCGAGAAAAAAATTGTTTCCACTTGACTTATTTTATTTTTTTCCATGCTTGACAATTCCTCATAAAATAAGAAAGGATGCACCCAAAAATATATTTTTAATTCATGCATACAAAATTTGTACATAACTGTAATAAATTTAGGAATACATTAAAGAACTCTATGAATTTGAAGCAATTCAGTGATCCATTCGATATTTTATATAAACTGTTATAATATAATTTTATTACTCATTATCAGCTATACTTTATTATTAAATTATTGTACACACTCGACTTCTGTTTCACTATTCATCGATAAAATCCTACTGAATCCATATTAATTTTTTATTAGCTCATGCCTGCAGGAATTATAAAGAATTTTTCTTTTTTTTATTTCAAACTAATTTTAATTTTAGTTGTTTTTTCCCCATTTTTATTTTTCCAATGTTTATTATTATTTATTTTATTCATTTAGTTTTTTAATAGTCACACTATAATGTGGGTTAAAAATTCATGATAAATTCTCTGATTTAATCTTTTTTAGCTTAAAAAAAAACCTAAAATTTAGAATCTAGAAATTTGTTTTTCATAATATAACATCATAAATTTAACACATAGGAAGTAAATAATCTGTCTATGTGTTAATTATCATTTTCTGATGACTAACTATGTTCATTGATGAATCTTAATAAGAAATATTTTGACTAAAGATAAGGACCAATAATTTTCCACAAAACTAATTTCGCTCTTTGCTATTTTTTTTCTTTTCTATATTCTGTCATTATTTTAAAAATTAAAAAAATATATATTAAAATTATTGCCCCCGTTAAAAAATGTGGAAACCTAAGTTATTTTATACTGTCCCACATAAAGTGTGTAATATAATCAGTTTAGTTGATTCTATTTTGTTTTTTATGTTTTATTTTGTTTATTCATTTATTTTGTTTTTATTTTATTTGTTTTTTTTTTCTCCTCCCCACTCCTGTGCTGAAATAGGTGGTTTTTCAATGATAGGAAAAGATGAAGCTGATAGCAAGTTATCTGTTGAAGACGAAGCTCGAGAAATGATTAAGAAAGCGAAGATTGAAGATGACGAGTACAAGAACACCACCGAAGAACATACATACTATAGGTATGTATCTTCACATTATTAGTAGTCAATTATTGATTTGTAATGTTCGGCGTTGAAAGCCACTTGGCATGTTACAGATTTTGATGAAAATAATAAATTGTTATAAATATTTTATTAAAGTTGCAATATTCGTTTTGAATTTTTTTTTTGAACAGAAAACTTAATGTATCAAACATCAGAAATTTTCATTATTTTCAAAAAGATATACTAATATTATATTATTAAACATTTTGTATACTTGAATGTGACAAGTACTAATGTTTTTATTTGTTTGAATAGCATTGCTCACACTGTGCATGAGATCGTAACAGAGCAAGCTTCAATCATGATAAACGGTAAATTGAAAGAATATCAAATTAAAGGCCTTGAGTGGTTAGTATCTTTGTACAACAACAACTTGAATGGAATCCTCGCTGATGAGATGGGTCTCGGCAAGACAATTCAAACTATAGGCCTTATCACTTACTTGATGGAGAAGAAGAAAGTAAACGGCCCTTACCTCATTATTGTACCTTTATCGTAAGTGCTATTTGTTTTTACATAAATTTTCTTAATATATATCTGTTAACTGGTTACTATCATTATTATCTTATTCTGAACTTAACACCAATTGTGGAAGAAGATATTGTTATTTATGAGTATCTCAATGTAGTTAACTCTATTTTGACTATATACAGCTGTTATTTTTCAAGAGGGGTAACATATATAGTTGAATGATGTCAACACAGTTCTGTGAGGATAAGTTGGTATCTGTATAATTTCTCATAGAAGTAACACTCTAGCTTTAAAAACTATTAGTGCCGGGGTGGCCGAATGGGCTAATACGTGTGCACAGCTCCGCGAGTTACCTGGCAACCAGATAACCGAAGTTATGAGATTAAAAAAAAGTACGTATTCGCGTCCTGGTGCCAGAGGGAACCCCGTATAGCGTAAAAGGCGGGATAGGGAAGAACAATATAAAAAAAAACTTTAAAAACTAAATTAAAATTTTAAATAATTATATCATTTGTTTGTAACAATAATACATTAAGTATCATTTCATTAACTTAAATCACTGGAAACGTAGATGAATTTGCTCTATGTGAAATCACTGTGCACTTTTTGTAGATATATTTATTATAGGATTTGTGTCATTTTGGTACACATACTATGTTCTTTTTTCATAAAAAAATAAAATTGAAACTTAAAGAATTGTTCTTAGAAGTTCAGCTCAATCAAAAATCTACTAGCAATGTATTTTTAATTTGATGGTACATGCATAAAATACATAGTTTAGTAAAAGTATTTACGATTCTATACAGTTTCAAATACAATTTAGTGCTACCTTCATCATAATAAGTTGTTTCATCTGTTATGACAAAAAAACAATATAATTAAATTACGTTATGTGAGTCAATTTCTATAAATGATCTGACATCTTAATAATTATTTTATATGTGAAGTACTTCGTCGTAAACCAACGACTTCCTGTCCTACAGTTTCCTTTAACAATACTCCACTTATCTCTGTTGAGCAAATCCGATACCTAGGACTCTACCTGGACAAACGACTAACTTGGAATCCTCATACTAGACTGAAACGACAAGAAACCGCACGACGTTTCCGATTACTTCAGCACTTACTAGACAAACGCTCTAAACTTCCCATTAATTACAAAAGACTCATATACTTGACTGTAATAAGACCTATCTGGACTTACGGAGTTGAGCTATGGGGCTCCACTAAACCATCAAATTCCTCTCGCATCCAATCCTTACAATCCAAAATCCTTCGTAAAATCCTCAATGCTCCTTACTTTGTCACTAATAAAATTATCCACAAAGATCTTAATATTCCTTATGTTTCAAAGCTGGCCCAATCCAGATACCTATCCTTCCATAATAAACTTCAGAATCATCCCAATCCTCTCGTTTCTAACCTTGCTTCCTCTTCAATTCCTGATTGAAAATGGCCCCGTGATCTCCTAATGTAGTCAAATCATTATAGTGCTGCCGTTGGGTAGTTACTCAGCAAGTGTATTCATGTCATTATATCTATTACGTCCAAATTTACTTGATGTATTTATGTAATACAGTTGTAAACGTCATTAAGAAATAAAAAATAAAAAAAATATGTGAAGTATAGAAATAGCGATTTTCGTCATGCATTTCTTTATTTACAAATTATTATATATTTTCAGAACATTGTCTAATTGGGTTTTGGAATTTGAGAAATGGGCTCCTTCGGTGTTTGTGGTAGCTTATAAAGGTTCCCCTGCAATGAGGAGGACTTTACAAACACAGATGCGCTCAACAAAGTTTAATGTTCTCCTCACAACTTATGAATACGTTATCAAAGACAAAGCAGTACTTGCAAAGGTAACGATATAAAATTAATTAAAATTCATTAATATGATTAATAACCGGTGGATTTCTGTTTATATGATTTTATTATTTGTATTAGTTACATTGGAAGTACATGATAATTGATGAGGGGCACAGGATGAAGAACCATCATTGTAAGCTGACCCAGGTGCTCAATACTCATTACTTGGCACCACACCGCCTCCTCCTCACGGGCACACCCCTGCAGAACAAGCTGCCTGAGCTCTGGGCGCTTCTGAACTTTCTGCTCCCTTCCATCTTTAAGTCGTGTTCTACTTTCGAGCAATGGTTCAACGCCCCATTCGCTACTACTGGAGAAAAGGTATGTAGCAATGTGTTACGTGGCCATTCCATTCCGAATCATCAAATGCTCTGGAACCTTAAGTCTATGTGTCTTATTATATCAGTTAGAATTGAAAAGTGTTAATTTTAGTTTTTGAGTTATAAATTTTTTAAAAAGATGAATTGCATAAAAAAAAAAACTTATTCTGAAGTTAATAATTCCAAAACTGTTTCTTCTAGGATACTGAAAAGTGAATAATTTTTTTTTAAAATCTCAGAGCTTTAATTTTCTTAAAAGTTATTCATGAATTTACCATATTAAAATTTAAAAAAAATTTTTTTTTGTTTCACATATATGTCATCTTTATAGAATTTGTAGTCCAAATTTAATTAGAATATTCCTAAGAGTTCTATTGCTAAAAATGATTTTAGTTGCCTGTACATAACTCAATGTGTTTGTGGTGTGATGTCATAATACTTGTAATTACTTAATTATCTCTAGATAAAATGGGTTGTGTTCTTTTTAAATAATTTCTCTGTACTTAAGCACTTGAAAAAAAAAAAAAAATACTACAAAATAACTATGCTAGAACTATATTATGTCCCTATTTTATACTATGCTCACAGGTCTCAAGTTGAAAAGAATCTCTTGTTTTTATGTAAATCCATTTACATTTTGGTACTTGCCTGAATTTTCAAATTTTATTCATTAGTAAAGATTTAGTTTTAACAAAAAGGCAAAAAAATCATAAATTTTTTTGTTGCATATCTACATAGATAATTAAAATATAAGTAAAGATACAACCTGTGCATTTATGATTTTAAAGTTCATCTGTTTTTTTATTGTTTTAATTTTTTTTTTAGGTTGAATTGAATGAGGAAGAAACAATTTTGATCATCAGACGTTTGCATAAAGTTCTTCGACCTTTCCTCCTCCGCAGACTGAAAAAAGAAGTTGAAAGTCAATTGCCTGAGAAAATTGAATACATTGTTAAGTGTGATATGTCTGGTCTTCAACGTGTCCTTTACAGGTACATTTTATTTAATTTTAATTTTTTTTTAATGTTATCAAATTACTTTTCTCAAATTATGTAAATCATTACTTTTATTTATTTCCCTACCAGGCATATGCAGAGTAAAGGAGTTCTATTAACCGATGGTTCTGAAAAGGGAAAACAAGGCAAGGGAGGAGCTAAAGCTCTGATGAACACTATCGTCCAATTGAGAAAGCTTTGCAACCACCCTTTCATGTTCCATCATATTGAAGAGAAATATTGCGATCATGTTGGTCAGAACAATGTTGTTACTGGGTAAATATTGATTGGCTTATAATTGATTTTTAAAATATATCACAACAAAACGAAGGAAGGTTTAATTTTCTCTCACTGATCTGGTGATCCATTGCATTAAATATTCTAGTGAAACATTGTATCGGTTTTTGTTTTTAAAAATTAAAATTATCTTTTGTAGGTATTTATAAATTTTATGAAAATTTGTATAAATCAATTTATACTCTTTTGAGTATCCTGGTGAATTAATGCTTCTATTTTTTTAAAAATGAAAATTGTTTTATATCTTATTCAAAAATTTTTATTTAAACTCTCAGAAGTGTGATATTTTATCATTGTGTGTATCTTTGTGTTGCTTTCTTACTAATATATTCTTTAATATTCCTCAGGCCTGATCTGTTCCGAGTGTCCGGTAAATTTGAATTCCTTGATCGGATATTGCCAAAATTGAAGGCCACAAACCATAGGGTGCTTCTCTTCTGTCAAATGACCCAGCTGATGACCATCATGGAAGATTATTTGTCTTGGAGAGTGTTCTCCTATCTTCGTCTTGATGGTACAACCAAGTCTGAAGACAGAGGAGATCTTCTTAAGAAATTCAACAGCCCAGAAAGTGAATATTTCATTTTCTTGTTGTCTACAAGAGCCGGTGGATTAGGGTTGAACTTACAAGCAGCTGATACTGTCATCATATTTGATTCGGATTGGAATCCTCATCAGGTAAATTATTTTGAAAAGCATTGCTCGAATGATTATTGTTTAAACATATTACTAAATGAATTATTAGTCTGACTTAAGTTATGCTATTACATAGAAATAGATAATTTGATTGGTATTTGTTTTTGATAATAATCTTTAGCATAAATAGTTTAAATTAAGTTGTTTTGGCTTAATTTTTTATTATTTTTCTGTTTCAAAAGGATTTGCAAGCTCAAGACAGAGCTCATAGGATTGGACAACAAAATGAGGTTCGTGTCTTGAGGCTAATGACAGTAAACTCAGTCGAGGAGCGTATACTTGCAGCTGCTCGTTACAAGCTGAACATGGATGAAAAAGTCATTCAGGCTGGTATGTTTGACCAGAAATCGACGGGAACAGAAAGGCAGAAATTTTTGCAGAACATCCTTCATCAAGACGATGCTGATGATGAGGTTAGAATATGTTAAAGTATATTTGAATCTGTATCTTTTTCATTTATTTAGCTTGACTCTAGCTAATTGTTTATACTCCTTTACAAAGAAAGAATATCTTCTTAATCACATCATTATAACTATAATTATATATAAGTTCTTGCCTTAACTTCCATATGATAGCCTTGAGTATGACCCACATGTTTGGTTCGAAATGTCGTCTAACCTAATAAACATATCTTGACTGAAATTCCTATCAAATTTTGTTTCATCCTTATAACAACTATAATTGTGGTTATTTAGATATAGAACTGTAGTGATAGATTGTAGTGAATCATCAAAGTTTTATTTTATTCAATAACCAAATTTTAAAACCATTCAAAAAATCTTTAATTAATGTTTTATTTAGATTTGTACCCTAATAAAGTTATATTCTTTCATTAAAAATCAATTAAAAACAAATTTTATAGATATTAGGGACACCTTCTTGGGGCACACCCAGTCTCATATTCAAAATGTTGAATTAATTCAATTCAAATAGATAGGTAGAAAATAACTTCATTCTGGAACAAAGTCCGTTTAAATAACAAAGTATTACAAAGTTAAAAGATTACATCTTTCCTAAATAAAAAAAATATCAAAAAGAGAAAAAGAATAAAGTTAAGAGAACATTAGTTAAACATGCTATGTACAAAACACTTAAAACTATGACAAGACTCTTAAAACTATGTACAACGGTAAAACATAATATATACACTTTTAAGAAAGAAAAAAAAAAAACATAATGTTCTTTAAAATAAGCTCTGTGTTTCTGCAAAGAAAAAAAAGAAAGCCGAATCTGACAATATAAAATGTCTGAGTACGTATATGTAATAATATGCATGTAATAATATGTAAATACATCATGACCGCTTCTTGGTACAAATTTTATCTTGTACATAGGTAGAAATTTTATTGTATATAAAAAAATAATAATAAAAAAACAACAAAAGAAGCATTCATGATATATATTTAGAATAATTAGTATAATATAACTTAATAATAATAATTATATATAAATAATGATTTATATAAAATTTATATTATTTTTTAAAATTAATTCAATGTATTTTATGTATTATATAAAAATATTTATTCATATGAATGTAATGTTTTACAGGAAAATGAAGTTCCTGATGATGAAATGGTCAACCGCATGATAGCAAGAACAGAAGACGAATTCAATCTCTTTCAGAAAATTGATCTTGAACGAAGGAGGGAAGAGGCTAAACTTGGACCTAATCGAAAGTCCAGGCTTGTAGAAGAAGCTGAACTTCCAGACTGGCTGGTTAAAAATGATGATGAGGTATTGGTTTATTTTAAATTATTTGAGCAAAAAAATTCAAGTATTAGTAAACTATACATAAGCTCCATCAATCATCCCCTCCACAACCAAGTTGAGAGTGAATATCGATATCAATCATAGGAAAGAGGCTCCAACTAAGGAAGCCTTCATTTTAGTTCATTGTACTATTGTTGCTTCTTCTTAATTTCATCTGAAATTTATTTTATTTCTTATGAAATCTCTCAATCGTTATAAACTTCTTTTATATATATAGTGGTGTAAGTTACATATTATTAATTCTGTAAAAAACTGTACCCATACTATTTCAAAATATGTTTTATTATAGATCGAGAAATGGGCTTATGAAGAAACTGAAGTACAAATGGGTAGAGGCAATAGGCAGAGAAAGGAGGTAGATTACACTGATAGTTTGACTGAAAAAGAATGGTTGAAGGTAAATATTCGTACATCTTATTATGAGTTGTTAGCAAAATTTTTTAGAAATATTTTTTCAAATTAATTAATTTGTTTGTTTGTTTACTATAGGCTATTGATGATAATGTAGATGATTTTGATGACGATGAAGAGGAAGAGGTAAAGATCAAGAAAAGAGGCAAGAGAAGAAGAAGAGGAGAGGAGGATGAGGAAGATGCAAGTACTTCCAAGAGAAGAAAATATTCTCCTTCTGAAAACAAATTGAGGAGGCGTATGCGTAACCTTATGAATATTGTTGTTAAATATACCGATAGGTGAGTGTAGTATTCAGTAAAGTTTGGTTGGGAATTATTTATATTTTGTTTTAATCTTTTAATAGTATTTTTATTATTTGAGGGATGTGCAACCCTTTGACATGAATCTGTGATCCTTATAGATTATATCTCTTGTGACCCTAAAACCTCGCTAACTTTAACCCTGAATGATAAATTTAAAAAAAAAAATTATTTAATTTTATATAAAACTTTTATAATAATTTAATTCATTAATTTAATATAAATTATACTAGTTGAAAGATTAGATGAAATTAATTATTACAAGCACAATTAAAACAGGTAAATCGGTCATGAACACTTGATAATAAAAAAAGGCATTCAAAATTTTTTTTTTTTTTGGAGGACAGATTTACCAATAGGCTTATTAGGTGGATACTCTGCCTGAGAGAGCTCGTTAAAGAAAATTGTTTACAGTCTCGATACAATCTTATTTTGTATAGTTATTGATTAAAAAAATTATTAGATTATTTCTTGAAGAAAATTGTCCCAATGGTGTGAAGAAGGCTGGCAAAAAACGGGCCTGAGAATATTCAAAATTTAAATTTATGCTGGGGCTAATAATTTTAATCACTTTTTTATATTTAAGTTGGGGCTCCACTAAACCATCGAATTCTTCTCGTATCCAATCCTTACAATCCAAAATCCTTCATGAAAACCTCAACGCTCCTTACTTTGTCACAAATAAAATCATCCTTAAAGACCTTAATGTTCCATATGTTTCCGATTTGGCCCAATCCAGATACCTATCCTTCCATATCAAACTCCAGAACCATCCGAACCCTCTCGTTTCAAACCTTGCTTCCTCCTCAATCCCTGATAACCCTCTGAGGCGTCTGAAAAGAAGATGGCCTCGTGATCTACTTATGTAAATATATTATTAGAGTGCTTACCAATGGCTAGTTTCTCAACAAGCGTTTTCATGTGATTTTATTATTACTGTGTGCACATTTACTAGTTCTATATTTTTTTTTTATAATACAGTTGTAAATATCAATGAATAAAAAAAAATATATATTTAAGATTTCAATTCATTTCCAATATTTCAATATATGAAGAATGTGACAGCACTATGGAGGTTACTTGACCATAGAACATCTTTTTATTATATTATTTTGCTTTATATTTCATAAACCACTCAATAAAAAAAGAAATCAAGGAAACTATTTTTTTCACATTTTTAATGTTAAGTTTCTAATCATTAGTTCTAATAACATGATTATAAATACCCCCTAAAAGTTTTTCACCCCATAGAAAAATCCCAAAAACTTTTAGTCTAAAAAAATTTTTTTTTTAATTGAAGAAAAAGCTAATCAGGCAATTCTACCAATGGTTACCCCTCCAACTATTTATATATATGCACTATCCTACTAAATACATTGTTAAAACCCTTTATTAAGTGAGTGGTGCTTTGGGAACAAAAAACTTTGGCATTTACATATTGAGATTGTCATCATGAAATTAATCCATTAATATTTATCATGATTTTCATTTTGATTGTACTTAATGATGTTTTTTTGTTTTTAGTGATTCCAGGGTACTTAGTGAACCATTCATGAAACTTCCTTCTCGTCACAAGTATCCAGATTACTATGAATTGATTAAGAAACCCATCGATATCAAGAGGATATTGGCCAAAGTAGAAGAGTGTAAAGTGAGTAATTAGTGTCTAAAATTTGTTTGTAATAAGGATAGAATTTTCAAATTAGTTCTATACAGAATGAATTTTACTTACCTTTCTATCAATCCCTTGCACTTTTTGATGGGACTAAAGAATCAAAATGCAGTTGTTTTATTTAATGCTAGAATGAATAAGGTACTTTCAGTTATGTGTAATGTTCTTAAGTCCTATACTTTTAACCGGGTTGTAAGAGACTCATTTGCCCTTTTGGCAGGATGGCTGGTAAATGATAAATACTTAATTCTGTTATGTACAGAAAAAAAAAAATATAAATTTTTACTCATTACATTTAATTTTATAGTTTATTATTATTCTTGGGCATCCTTATCTGAATTTGTAGCATAAAACTAATTGTTTTAGGTATTATTTTACCTCAGTCTCATTTAAAAGCTGTAAAAATAAAAAACTACCATTGGACGTAGGCTAGAGGTTCCCAACCTTTTTTCAGCAGCAGGCACATTTATAGGTTAGGTCTTGAGTGGCGGGCATTGTAGTTTTGTTCATTATATTAGCTTGGCAAATACGTCCTTTCGGTTTTTCTGTTTATTGTTATGTCACTATGATACACTTATTATGTGTTGAATAAATCCCTAAAGTTGATTGTTTATCCTGTTGTAATAGGTCAACAACTATATCTGTTAACTCTTGTTGAAACTAGCTTAGTATTTTGTTTGCTATTTCACTGTGAATATGGAAGAAAATATCATTCTTTATCGGCATATTTTGTTGTATTATTTAAAAAAGGTAACCGTGCAGTAGAAACTTATAGAAAAATTTGTAGTGGTTTATGGGGATGATGCCTTAACCGAACACACCTGTCAAAATTGGTTTGCCAGATTTCATTCAGGAAATTTTGACATCAATGATGCTCAACGGTCTAGTTGCCCACATGAAATTGAAACGAGCAATGTTAAGGCCCTTGTTGATCAAAATCCCACCCAATCAGTGCGAGAGGTTGCTATGGCCTAATGTGTCGCACACAAGCATAGAAAATCACAAGCTAACACGATAAGCACAAGCTTCCAGGCTTAATGTTTCGGTCCCTCAGATGATTTTTTTTGGAAATCAAAAAATGTTATAACTTTAATACGATTTTAGCTATCTACAAGAAATTTAGGGTCACATAAACTACACAAAATGACATCAACGGGACTTCCGTAAACAAACTACAAATGGAGATTAAAAATAAAAACCTATAAGGAGTTTTTTTTATTTATTCCTTATGTAGGCATTAAATCAAAAACCATTCATACTGCTTTGAAGAGCAATAATTCAGCTTTCCAACGGATATAGTAATATCGAATTTGGAGTTATGAATGATCAGAAGGATGTTGTGTTCCACCAGGACAACGCTAGTCCCACACCTCATTGGTTACCAGCAATAAATTATTGAGCCTTGGATGGTTCCTTTTGCCCCACCCTCCCTATTCAGCAGACCTTGCTCCAAGTGACTACCACTTATTCCAGTCTCAGCAGAACTCCATGAATGGAAAGAAATTCCAAAAGGAAGAGGACATCAAAAACCACTTGGATCAGTTTTTTAACAATAAACTCCAGACATTCTATGAACATGGCATCATGTATTTAATGGAAAAATGGAGAAAAGTCATATTAAATAATGGTCAATATATTGTAGATTAAAATAAATTTTATGTCCATAATACATTGAGTTTTATATCACCCTGACGAACCGAAAGGATTTATTTGCCAGCCCAATAAATTGCAGGTAGCTTTCTGTTTATAAATTTGAAAAGAAAGTGTGAATGGAATAAATAAATAAAAATAAATATATATGTATATGTGTAGTAACAGACATCTTTATCATTTCTAAAACTAATGAAATACATTTTTACAGAAAAGGCGAAAACACCAAATGCAGTGATTGTATTAATTTTATATAATTTTCTTATATTAAATTAACAAATTTTCAAATTAAAATTGAAAATTAATTAAAAGTGGTATGGGATATAACTAAATAGTTGTTAAATGTAATGTTACCAACAGTTTCATTCATTTTTTTTTTACTACCCAAGAAAGAGATTAATCAAAACAATAGCAATCTTCAGTTATTAATAAGATTATTACTTCTTAAGGAAGTTTTTTTATGTATAATATGTAATAAATAATATCATGACATTAAATTATTTTCTGCTCACAAGTAGTATTAATTTATAATACTTTTTTTAATATTTTATTTTTCTTTCATATAGTATACTGACATGGATGAATTAGAAAAAGATTTTATGCAGCTTTGTAAAAATGCACAGACGTATAATGAGGAGGCATCTTTAATCTACGAAGATTCAATAGTGTTAGAAAGTGTTTTCTCCAATGCTCGTCAAAAAGTTGAGCAAGATGCTGATTCAGATGATGATGAAAGCAAAGGTTGGTTTGCATATTTTGGTGATAGGTCGGAATTTATCGTAATTATATTTGTGAGTTATTTACAAACTAATATTTGCTACAGGTGACCAGGAAGATGCTGCATCAGATACTTCATCCGTAAAAATGAAATTGAAGTTAAAGCCTGGGAGGACCCGAGGGAGTGGAGCAGGTGGTAAGAGGAGAAGAAGAAAATATATTTCCGAAGATGAAGATGAAGACCAAAGCGAAGTTTCCTTAATGTAATTTTACCATAATTTTGTGTTAAGTGTAATGCCTCTTCGTCTGTCCTTTACAATTGTTAGTTTCATCGGTGGTCGGTACCCATTTTGGGAGAAGCTAAGCTTTTTAGTTGACTATCGAGGAGTATAGGACTGATTTTGTTTTTTATGATTTGGTGTCATGTACAAAAAAAAAAAAATGTATTTAACTGTATAATCTACTCTTTAGAGGAGTAGTCTTAAAACACCTATCATTGAAATTGTGTGCAAATTGATTGTACATTGTTGATATTATGTAAAGTATTATTTAATATACTTTATAATTTTAATTAATTGACTCTGTAACAGTATATTAGCGGTCATGATTTAGCACATTTCTATTAAATATATTATTAAATGTAACTGACTACTTCATAGAATTTATCATCTATAGAATGGAATATTATTGTTTTATTTAATTTCTTTTTTAATATTTTAGAGCATTTATTAATTGTATTGATTGTAAATTTTTTTTACTATGTCATTTTAATATTAATTATTTGTGGTGTAAATCCTGTGTATTTATTTTATATATAAATATATATAGAACCTGGAAAACAGGTTAAAAGCACTTATTTTAATTTGTTATGAAATATTATTGATGACCTTAGACCAGATTTTATGGTATGCTACTTAAAATAAATTTTATTGATTCTGTAAATAATAAATTATAAATCTGAAAAGTGTATATATCAATAGTGACTAAAAAATGATCTCAATTTTTAAGAAATGTTATTCTAATAAGTCGCTCTTCTTGTTAGTGTTCAATAACATCTGTTGACAACAGAGAAGTAATATGAGCAGAAGTTGGTCGGGAATGTAATCAAATTAATTATTATAATGTACAGTATTTAATTTGGCACAATTCTTCAAATTATAATCACATGGTTCCATTCAATAAATAATAATCATGGTCAACCATCTCCACACATCTATTAAAAATTACCATAATGTTGCATGTTTTCATATCCTCCCAGCATTGTTCTGATGAGTCTTTTTTTCTATGCAGTTTAAATTTTATTGATCCTCTTCCTCTAATTCCAATTTTCGATTTATCCTGGAGTTGCATTCCCAATCCACAGGTGTAGGACCCTGGGTAATATTCTCATCTCTATAATGGGCTGCTCTCTTACTGCCTACAGTTCTCCAATACAGTAAGATATAAATAAACCTGGTTCTATGGTGAACACTTTTCAAAGTGGCCTTTTGGGTATCGTCCATTCTACAGAGATGCTCATACCAACTTCGATGATCCAATCTTGATAAAAGTTTTGTTTTCTCACCTAATCAAATTTTAAAAAGTAAGACTTAAATAAATTTTATTGAATATTTAATAGTTGACCGTTGCATTATAACGAAGGAGATGGTCCGGGGTTGCAGTCATAAAAAGGCTAAATAGTGGTAAAACTATTTTATTGAAAGCCAACGTTTCGACCCGACTTTGCAGGTCTTCATCAGGGCTAGAACGGACAAGATACAAAAGATAGAGAATTGTGGCAATTACATAATATTTAGACATAATTTATAAACAATGTGAATAAGCTTATTAGAATTATAAACAGTAAGTAGAATAAAATATGGACTAAGTAAGCTGAGTAACAAGATCCTAAACTAAAATAAATAGATGCTAACAATTGTTGTAGTGTAATATATAATAACTGAAAATGTGAGTATAATTCTACAAAATCTACAGGAGAAAAATAAAATTAGAGACTTACAAGTGTGTTCCTCTAGGAGTTTCACTTAGAACTGGAAAGGTGGGGATAAGGATTGCAGGTATAGGGGAAGTTAACACGTGTTAACTAAGTAAACATTGAAAAACCCAGGAAATTACAGTATCTAGGAATTTTTGAGGATATGTATGGATACAATGTTAAAATACTATATCTATGAAATATTAAATTATAAATATACATATAAAATAGAGATGTGAGAGGTATTTCATGATTCTAGATCAGAGTACAATGTGAATAAACCCAAAATTGGCAAAAAGTAAAATATAAATATAGAAATAACTTCATTAACATACATACATTGCAGAGCTAACTTAAAAGTATAGAGAGGGAGGGAAAAAAATTAATACTTATAATTATATTTGGTTGTAGATATGTAAGAAAATTACATTTGAATATTAGATAATGAGACATGGTTAATAAGTAAAATTAATACAAAGTGGGAAAAAAAAGGGTGATCGTACATTGGTGTAGAATGTAAATGTAAATTTAGAATAAAATAGAAGAGAGATCATACAAAGAAGGAATATTTAGAATAATTTAATTAACAATTAAATGAATTAATTAGTAAAAATTGAGAGTAGATGAAAATAATAGAATAGAATATTTAAGTTATTTTTCCCTTATAAGACTCAAAATGTGTCTATATGTAAGAGAAATACAGTTTTTGTCTACTTTGTGATTAACGGGATTGTGTTCCATGTGAATGTGGATAGATTCGGAAATGAGTCTTTTTTCATGGTTAGGGACCGTGGAAAGGATAGAGGTTTTTTAAAAATCAAATGAGTGGTTGAGTGTTAAAGCATGTTCTGATAGTTTGGAGGCGGAAGGATTCCGGAAAGTTATGGACGTTTTTTGTTGGGAAATGCAGGTTTTGAGATAGTTTTTGGTTTCACCTATATTGGTGAAATCTAACATCATTATAACATTGTTGTGTACCTTGAGTAGTACCGCAAAGGAAAAACAATTTCTTTTAAAGTTTATTTATGAGCACCTGAGCCATCCTTGCCTTTAAAAATCAAATCGTATAATTACTGAGATGGATTAGATAAAACTGAAAAGCCTACCAAGTGCTACTTAATAAATTCTCAATGGATTAACAGTTTTTGTATGACTGAAAAAACTGATGGTTCATAGGTGAGTATCGGTTTTCATGCTAAACCAACTACTTATGTTATCCCTGATTATTTTTTTTGTTCTGAAGAAGGCCTGTAATGAAAGCTATAACTTTGGCATAGGTTTAATCGTGAAATATTTGAAACATGATCTAGATTTAATCAATAATCCACACAATTTTGAAATTTCTTTTGTTAGTGGATAATTTATTATTAAAATTTTAAAGGAAAAGTAATTTGAAGGTATATATTATAATCAGTATTTAATAACTTTTTATTTCACTGTACAAATTAAAAAATGTATATACAAAAATATTGAAATTATTAATATACATATCATACATAAATTTTAAAACTATATATACAACTTATATAATAAAAACAAATCATAATTTTAAAATTGAATTAGTTTTTATGGCTATTTCCTTTTTGCGCTTCCTCTTTAATTTTTCTTTCTGTTTTGTGGTTGCGTCTTTAAATAGTATTATTCCTTCGTTTTCTTCAATGTCACGCTGTAAAAATCTTAAACCAAATAAGTTTACGCCGACCATATCCTGAAATAATACATTAAAATTAATAATGACGGAAACTTATAAAAAAAATTAAAACTAAAAGTAAAAAAATAAATATTACTAAGATTTAAAAAGAATTAATTATAAAAATATTTCTCAAGTATTGTTTAAAAAAAAAAAAACTCAATTTAAGTGTTTAGAAGTGACCTTTTCTTGTATAAATTTTTAGTTTTTACCGTCTTTAGTTTCTGGACCACTTTAGTATGATAAAATTATGAAATTATTAATTAATTTTTAGTAATGATCTTTTAATCATATGAACAAAAGTCTGCCATCATTTGAAACCGTTGATTCATTGTTTTATTTTATTTCTACCCTCTCTGTATTATACACCAATACAGGTGTTAGCATTGCTCTGATGTTATGCATTATTGCTTGATAACAAATCACCGCAACTAAAATATTATTAATATATTGCAGTAAATATAGATTAATAATCATGTCATCATTAATCTCAATCAAACCCAAAGGTAGATACTTCATTTTTTAATCTTTCTAATGATAGGCTCTGGTATTCTACCATTGAACAGATTAATAAAGAAAGCCACTTCAAGGCAATAAATAGGGTAGATTAATTCTTCTTCAGCATTTATTAATAAATATTGAAGCTTTGCTATAGTCTCCTCATTAACTCTTAATGTTTCTGAAGGATGTAACAAAACTATAGACAAGATTAAAAACAATGCCCTATCTTTATATTTTGTTTCTCAAAGGTATGTTTTCTTTATCAGATTCAATGATCAAGACATTATTTTGAAGATTTATCTTTTCCTTCAAGGGTGAGAAATAGGCACATTCTCCAGAAAGAGTAAGGATAAAAAGGAATAAATAAGAGAACTAAATATTTGTCCATAACTCATTTCACATTTTTAGCAAAGAAAAAATCAACAGTAATTTGTACACATTTTGCTTCATTATTTTGAATGAACCATGATAATTGGCAAAGTAAAAGAAAATTAATCCCTCCATTTAATAATAGATTGTATTTACTTATTTCCATTTTATACTGCCTTTTCTTTGCACTGACCAATAATGTATGAGAATTATTCACAAATAGTAAATTCCTTGTTATTTATTTATGAAAACGAAGTAATAAAGAATTGATATGTAGAAAAGTAACAAAGAAAATTACCCTAAATTTTCTTATAGATTCAAATGCAGTTTCTTCTAGTTTTTCAAATTGAGGAAGATTAGTGGTGTCGGCAGAAAGTGGCCCATGATGAACTTTAATTAATAAAAGCATTGCTTTAGCAGCCATTTCAGATTGAAGAGGTTCAATTAACAAAGAAGGAAGAAGAGAAAGCATGAGTGTAACCAAATGTAAGGGTAACAACAATAACGCTTCTCCTAGCTCACTAAAAAATAAATAAAATGTATATGTATAAATTCAATAATGCTAAAGTGATAAATATCATAGTAATATAAAAAAAAAAAGAAAATTAACCTGGATCGAATGCTTTCTAATGTTTTAGAAAGATATTCCTCAGGAGTTTTAACTTTTAAAGCACCCATTACAGATGGAATGGTTGGCTTTTCTCCAGATTTTTCCTCTTCTTTGAATTTAATAATTATTTCAAGACACTCGATGAGAAGCTCAGCCTTGTTAAAAAAAATAGACCAAATTAAATGTATAATTTTCACATTTCAATGAAAGATTATAAGAAATTCAAATAAAAAGTAATAAGTGCCAACTGCAAATTAAAATGATTTTTATAAATTTTCAAAAAAACATATAAAAATCATTATTAAGGGTTGGAAAAAGTAATTATAATAGGACAATCCATTTGAAATCTACTACTACTAAAATACTAATTTAATAACAAATTCTGAGACAGACCATATTACTCAATTTTATTTATATTTTTTGATAACCAGTTATTCCAAATTCTTTAGTGAGTTTAAAACTATGTTTAGAACAAAACTTAGTAAGTTCGTTCCAAATTTAGTCTTAAAGCAAATGCAAAACAATACATAAACAATTTCAGATAAATAACAATCTATGCATATCACTAGTATATCTATATAGTTATAGTAATATAGTTATTAATCTATATAATTATAGTAATATAGTTATTAATCTAATTAGTGTAATAGTAATATAGTTATTAATCTGTTATTTTTCCATGGCAAAGTTTACTAAAATGGAATTACGAGATGCAATGTCTGTCATAGACAGGTTAAATGTTGTCACACTAATTGTAAGTGAATATTGTTGGGATTTCACAAAGGGAAATTCATCAAATTATTCACTTATTTAATTTTTAGAAGGTCACATGATTATTTTTTGGAATAAACAGATGATAGATACATAATTATTTAAATATAATATCACATCTAGAGTTATTAAACTGCAGTAAATATATTCAAGGCTATAAACATATCCATGAAATATTTTAATATTTCACTTCTTCTTTCACAAAAGTACAACAAAATTGGTTTTTTTTACAATACCATTGGCTTGATTCAATGGATTTTAAATATTTTTTTCAAACTTTATAAAAATTTAAAATTTTATATGTAGTATTTGAAATTGATAGTAGTGAAATTTTATTTAATTTCCTAGTAAACATGTGATTTCCGTTAAATAATATTAGTTTTCACAAATTATTATTTATAATTTTTTCGTTACTCTCCATTACCTTTGATGACTTTTTATATTAGATATTGTTTTTTCTAAAATTCTCTGCTTTCCAACGATATATTATACGTATATCTTCCAACTAGTATTTTCAGAGATTCATTTTCGACCTAAATGAACATTCCTCTTTTTTTCTCCAGTTTCCAGTTATCGAATTCGTTCATAATTTATATTTAGCCATTTTTTTTTTAAAGTTACAGTCAATAAGAGAGAGTTAATTTCTTAAAATAAACCAAATTAAAGTTACTTTAGAGGAAGACGTACTTGAAAATTGGGCATTTAAGCCCTGTAAAGTAACATCAATGTGGATAAGACTTATCTGATATTTAATATACTGAGTTTAATTAAAATCATTAGAGCAGTTATCGAGAAAATTGTAAAAATGTGTTATATTGATTGTATAAAGTGCCACTTCTGGTTTGCCGTTTTGACGAAAAAGTTACTGTAACAGCCAAGGCCTATACAAACCTTAAATACGTAATGTCAGCTTCGTACAAATTTTTTGAGCTCCGCTGTTCACAGATACACATAGACCATTTTGCGAGACATGGTTATTTGAACTGAGGGTGCCTCAAAACGTGTATTTCCGTTGAAAATTGAGATTTGAAAAATTTCATGATCGCAATACTTTCTCTAACTATATATTACATATATAGGTAAGTGAAAGTAAAAAAAGTAGTGACTTTTTGTTTAATTACAAATTTTTACTCAAAATATAAAGATACATGAATATCAGAAATGTGTGCTAAAATGTTCTGTTTTAGGTATGAAACAAATAGGAATGAAAGAAACTAAATAGAAAAAAAAAAAAAAAAAACAATTTTATTTTAATATGAAATTTTTCATATTTAAGGCATTTAACTATATTTAGCCATTTATTTATAATTATATTATTTCATTGGCTAATTTCTGAACTAAATTATTATTTAATATATTATTAATTTATTTATTCAAAATATTTTAACATAATTTTGCTTTAGAAAATTTCCATTTATGTAATAGGATTGCATCATGCCACAGGAGCTCATAGTTAGGTTATTAGGAAGGAGCCTGATAGTTAAGCTCCTGTGGCATGATGCTCTCCTAATACCAAAAGAAAATTTTCTTAACTAAAGCATTCATTAAGATATTAAATAAGTGGCGCTATCTCTTGGCAGTTTAGTAAACTACATTAGTTCAACATTTCACTAAATGATGGCGCAGGCTGTCAAATGAATCAACTTTTCAATTACAATTTAATCCAATAGACAATATTTTAGTTCAGAATTTAACCGATAGATGGTGTGCACTGTTTTAAAAATAACCATTTTTTAAATTTACTGTGAGAAAACTTCATTTTTGAAATTATTAAATTTTAAAAATTGTATTGACTTTTCGTCACAACATGGCCACTTGTTTATTAATTTGTGTGCTATAAAACGTTTTAGCACTTCTTTGCTGTTCTCAATAACCTTAAGAGTATAAAAATTGCAATTAAACCAAAGTATCGCCATTTTAATTATTTTTTTCTTAACATAAAATTTGTTTGATGAGTTTTAATAATTGGGAACAGGGAGTATTCTCATCTTTCACATCTACAGCAATTAGTTTCTAGTTGGTAAAATATATTTTTTCAATTTCAAGCAGTCTGTCCATGACTACTTATATGTAGGTATATTTTTCACTAGAAAAAGTATTTTCTTTCATATTTTTTTATTTTTAATGGGCATATCCACTACTATAAATTATATCTTGTCTCAATTGAAAATTTAATCAATCAATATAAATTATCACTATTTATTTGCTCATATATTTGTTTTATCTCTTATTTCATTCTTTCAGATCACATTATCTATAGCATTTATATTACTTCTAAAGAAATTTTGTATAATTATTAATCATTTATCCTTCATAAGAATAAAAGCAATACTTTTTTATAGGTTGAAATTATTCTTTTTTGTTATTGTTAGCAATGAAAAACAACTACAAATTTAAGCCTGCCACTTGACTATTAAGCTGTAAATTGGCCCTTGAGTATAAAAAGGTTGGCTCCGGAGAAAATCCAATGGAGCACACCAGGATTGAAGAGAGTTTGCTCAGTAAAGCAATATATGTAGTAAGGTATTTACTATCTAGTATCACAAAATAGTAATAACAAAATACAGTGAGAAAAATTGATTCCTAACAAAAAAAAAAGGTGCGCGCAATATACAACTTTCACATACCACACTACTTGAATATAAATTATTTTATGGCAATGTTGAACTATTATAAAATTTTTGAAGTGTATTTTTAACTGAGCTAAACCTAAAAAAATTCAGCTAAAAAATCATAAATACTATTAAAATAACAAAAGTCCTATTTATTATGTCACCGGTTGATTATGGATTCTTTGACTATTAGTTATTAAACTGTTATTTTCCATTGTAATGTTTACTAAAATGGAATTTCCAGATATGCATTGCCTGTCATAGATAGGTCAAAAGTTGTCACACTAATTGTCATTCAACAGTGGATACTGTTGGGATATCACAAAGGGAAAATTCATCAAATTATTCATTAATTTAATTTTATAAAAGTTTACATGATGATTTTTCGGAATAAACGGACAATAGATGCTTAATTATTTCAATATAATATCAGATCTACAGTTACTAAACTACAGTAAATGTATTTATGGTTACATATTCATGAAATATTTTTATATTTCACTTTATCTTTCACACAACTACAATGAAATAGTATTTTAAACAACGCCCCCTTGCCTTGATTCGGTGGATTTTAAATACTTTTTTCAAACTTAAAAAAAAATTTAAAGGTTTACATTTAGTAAGAAAATTCCATTTAATTTCTTGGGAAACATGTGATTTATGTTAAATAATGTCAGTTTTCAGAAATTAATTTTTATATTTTTCTAAAATTCTTCACTTTCCAACGATATATTGGGCGTATAACCTTCAGACTATTATTTCCGGATATTCATTTTTCTTTTTTCTCCTTTATTCAATAATCAAATTCTATCAAAAGTTATATTTAGCCTATTTTCATAGCTCCTAACAATGAGAGATAGTTAATTATTTACAATAAATCTAATTAAAGGTACTTTGTAGGAAGACATTTTGAACATTGGGCATTTAAGCACTGTTAAGCAACATCAATAGGGATAAGAGATAAATGGCATTAAATATTACTTACTTATACAGTGATAGACCAAGTTTAATCAAAATTGTTAGAGCCGTTTTTGAGAAAATCGTAAAAATGTGTAAAATCGATGATATAGAATGACACTTTCGCTTAAAAAGTTTATGTCAATTTGAAACCATATACAAATCTTAAATATGCAATTTAAGTTTCATACAGCGTTTTTAAGCTAGGCTGATCTCACACTGACCATTTTGTGGGACTTGGTTATTTCGACTCAAGGGACCTCAAAACATATTTCTGTTGAAAACAGATTTGAAACATTTTACGATCGAAATACTTTCTCCTTACTATATATTCCATATATAGTTAAGTGAAAGTAAAAATGTGTTTACTTATAAATACTAGAATATTTTTTTTATTTCTAATAAAATTTTACCCCTTGTTCAGAAGAAACTGTTTTTGTTGAGGGCAACTTAACAATAGAATCTTGTCCTGTAGCTAGTTCCTCTTCCTTCTCTCTTTCTTGTTCCTGTTCATCACTAAGGACTAGAGGTTCTTCAGTTTTCTCAAAAATTCTAATGGTTTTATCTTTTCCACAAGTTACAACAAAATCTTTGTTCAAACTCAAATCCCAACACTCTCCAAAATGACCCTGTATGAAATAAATATAATTTTTTTAAATAAATGAATAGCTGCATGTTATTTAATAAAAAAATAAATTTTTTTTTTAAATAAACATAAAATAATCATAATAAAAAATATACATAAAACGATAACAAATTTAAAAAGTTGGCATTTCAACATTTATTATTGAGTGGAATAGAATTAAGTAAAAAATAAAATATAATTTTTGACTGTCATTAGATTTTTCTCCAGTCCTCTATAAACACTTGACAAAATATAAACTATTAAAGTAAAAAAAGATAAACAAAGAAAACATATACAGTACAACTATAAATGTAGCAATAAAAGCAAAGAAACATACTTCTAAAGTAATAATTTTATTAAAGGTGTCTGCATCCCACTCCTTTATTTTACCATCTTTTCCAGCAGTGAAGAAATAATGGGTATCAGGAACAAATGCTACAGCTATTACACTGTCATCGTGAGCGAACAATGACTTATGGCAATCTCCAAAATCGAGTCCCCATATTTTTACGTTCCTGTCTGAGCTTCCAGTTACAATTAATGCAGAATCAGAAGAAATATCCATACAGGTCACTGGCATTTTATGACCATAGAGACTCACAAAAAACTGCGGAATCAAGGTAATAATTAGAGATAAATTCATAACAAAACTATAATATTATTTCAAAGAGAAGATGGCCTGTGTAGCAGTCAAGAATAATACAAAAAGTAATAGAAACTAGTTACTGAACACAGACATTTCAATCCATATTGCAGGTCTATACCAAGAACAATCATAATTAACCAACCTGCCCTAGACAGAGTAAAAAGGCCAAGATTTATTCCTTGAATCCACAACAAAATAAATTTCAACCCGCTCAGGCTGGATTCCAACTGATGCCGCTAGACCAGAGATTGTAAAGGTGATGCCTTAACACTCTCATCCAACTCAGTGATGCTTTAACTCACTTATAACTCTGTTCAACAAAACAACTTTTTTCTGTTCTTCATATTATTGTCCTATCAGCTCCTTATTTGTATGCTAAATGTTTAATATTTCCAATTTTTTAACTATGATTCCTTTTTTTTTTTTATTTAATTTATTATTTATTAATTGTCTTTATATTTCTGACTTGTCTTTTTACTTTATTTGTTTCTATAACTACATTCCACACATCATTTTTTTGTACTTCTTCGACATTTTCTTCTTTATTACATTTTTGTTCATCTCGTATTATTTTATCAGTTATGACTTATCTTATTTTTCAATGTTCTTAGTACTTCTACCATTTTACTAAGCTCATATCTACATCTCTTGTCATATCTTCTGTTTCCCGTTTTTATGTAGAGTTGAAGTGGCTTTACCCTTCCTACCATCGTATTTCCTGGCATCTTTCCTCATTCAAGTCATCCAATCCCACCGACCTTCATACATCTCCGAGCTCCTCCAATTCAAATCCTCTGTTCGCTCCCGCAATACTCGTTCCAGGTCTTCTGATTAATACACAAGGGACCACCGAACCGCTGCTTTCGACAGATCGTTCATTATCCGATCCTCATTCTTATGGAACTCCATCCCTTTCCACATCTGCCAATTCAATACCCTTCCTACCTTTAAATCCCACCTGTTCAATCATTTCTTATCCATCCAGTCCCTATAAAATTGTAAATAGATACCACTGTAAATATGTATATAAATTATTAGATTGTTCTTCATTATTTTTACTTTATTTTCAATTTTTTATTATTAACTTATTTAAGTTAGAAAGTAACATATAATTTTTAATATGACTATTTCATTACTCAACATTTAACATTTCTTTTTATGTATCTCTGAGGCTCCTTAGCCCACATTACTGTCCTTATGTATTATTCTAAAGGGACTTGTCCCAGAATAAATAAAGTATTATTATTATCCTATTAGTATTATTCTTTATAATTATACAATTTTCTAATCCTCCTTTTAATTTTATCTTTGTAGCCTGCAATATGGATCGAAACATCATAATTCAATAAATAGTTTCAACAATTTTTTTTATTTATTCTTATCCACCACCTGGACATTCTTCCTGATAATCAATTTGTGGAACTGTTATGTCTACATAATACATTTTAAAAAACAACTTAATTTATCTTCAATAAGACATACCTTAAATGTATCTAAAAAGAAAACCTTTACTGTGGAGTCAAGTAATGCAGCAGCTATTAATTTGCCACAAGGGGAACACTTGACTGACAGTACTGGATCTTCAAGTTTCAAAGTCCTCGTATGAAGTACAGAAAGGACTTTGGCTTTAGAGTTTTCCACATTGATAAGTTCGAAATTCCAAAGTTTAACTGTAGTGTCACCACTACAGGTGGCAGCTCCTGTCTGTAACAATATAAGACGAATTATTGTGCATGTCTTTCAAAATATATAGCCAAATCTATTTTGGTATTTAACTAGTTATTCGAGAAATGTACACATGTTTCATGAATGTAACATGAATTAAAAATAGATAAAACTGAGAATAACACTAAACCTGGTCTGGAGATATAATGACATTCCATATTTCTGCAGTATGGGCTGGTACTTCCTCCAGAACTTCACCAGCAGAAAGATCCACAACTAGCAAATGACCATTTCTCAGTCCTACCAAAGCATGACGGTCACCGGGCACAAAACAAACACTTATTGCTTGGAAACAATCAACTGTCCTTAGACATTGAAGAGATGACCTAAACATATACAAACAAATAGTTCAAGGAAAAATTGCATTCTTTGATTGGAAATAAAAAATAATTGATTTTATTGATTATTTAGTAATAAAATGAATCTAAAACCGATTAAATGCATTGCTTAGTGTAAACTAAAAAATGCAATTTCATAATAATTTGAATCATTACATTTTATAGTTTAACTCTAAGAAATGTTTAATAATAAGAATTCTATCTATAAACAATGTCTTATTAATATTATATCACAGTGGAAGTTACTATGTTCACATAGCAAATGGGTTACTAATCTAAGTGTTAAAATCAGAAAGTTTTACATTAAGAATGTTTTTGTTTTTTCATGAAATGTTTAACAGTATAAAAGCATTTAAGCTTAGTTAGTATTCTATAATACCAGAGTATCCTTTAGTACAAGAGTGGTAAATTATTACATTTAAATAAGGGCTTACTCCATATGACCTGGATAACCTGTCCTAAAATAAATTGAGATATTCTAGATTGTTGAATTAAGTTTTTTTCTAAAGTCATGTGGGACATATTCCATTAAATCAAATATTTTTTTATGGGTTTATGCTATTAGAAGAGAGTATGGTTGGTTGCTCAGCGAGGATGAAACTCTGTTCCTACCTCGTACGGAAGGATATGAATCCAGCTTTGGTAAAACATTGGTGTAAATAGTATAACAGAATAAATAATTATAAAATAGTTGGACCTGTAACAATATTTCATTCCTGAGTACTTCTTCTTTATCATCCTCCTTAGTGCCTCTCAGCATTGAGGTGCCCCGATCCAGGACTGCCCCCAATTACAAGCAAGCACCTTCATTGAATTCATAAACTTCCCCTTCTTTACACCCATCTTGGAGATATGGTTCATCCATAACAAATCTAGGTCTTCCTTGAGGACGGTGTCCGGTAGGCCTGGCCTCAAAAAACTTTGGATCACGGTCCTCGTCCATTCTGCATAGATGACCAAACCACCCAACTGCCTATTTTCGACTGTTTCCCTTAAAGCTGGCAAACTCGGGTCTTCCAGTATCCTTTCATTTCTAACTCTATCCCTCCTTGTTTTGCCTGCTATTCTCCGGAGGTACTACATTTCTGCAGCAGCAGCTCTACTCTAGTGCCTGTCCAGCAGGACCCAGCATTCACTTCCATAAATACGGGCAGGTAAGTATATGGACATAAAGAAATATAATTTTACACTTTTTTCCAATTCCCTTTTTCCCACCACTGTGTTACATAGCTGGTAGTATATGCTGTTAGCTTTCTTAATCTTGTTTGAGAACTCTTGGTCCATTTTCCCGTTTCTACTGATCACTACTCTGAAATAAGTGCACTCCTGTGCTGTCTCCAAGGTTCCTCCTTGGAATCGGCAATGAGGACAATATCATCTGCGAAAACCATCAGCAATGATTGTTCTCATGTTCCACCTTCCCACAACCGACCAGTTGCCCTCCATTTAGATATTCTCAATATTTCATCCATAAATATTATGAAAAAGAGAGGACTAAGGCTGTCACCCTGTCTAACACCCCTTCTCATGGCAAAGGCCTCGGACATTCTTCCGTTAATTCTTATTAATTCTGTGGGAACAGTTTTAGAGGCTAAAGCTGTCCATATTTCCTCTCTGGGAACGGAATTGAATACTGCCTTTGTGTCCAGGAACGCCTAGTACAAACTCTTTCCTCTATCCCATAACTTCTCAATAATCGTCCTTAGTGAGAAGATGTGGTTCTATGTTTGACGATGGGGTCTAAAAGCTGCTTGCTAGTCTTCTAATTTGCCTTCAATATTTAACCTGAGTTTTCTTTGCAGTATGGAGGAGTAAAGTTTATAGACTACCAGGAATAAACATTTAGGCATATAATTTGGACATTCACTAGAGTTTCCTTTCTTGTGGATCGGTATGATGATGTTGCACCCTTATTCCTCAGACATAAATTTATAAGAAAATATATTCCTATAAAGTATTCCGTAATTGTGGACCTCCAAAATTTATAAGTTCTGGAGCAATACCGTCTTTGTCTGCTGCTTCATGATATGACATCCTCCTTCCAGGTATTGTCATGATATACATTTCTGTTCGTGTTTCTTACGTGCCCTCCATTTTCTCTTCCGTGCCAACAGAGAAAAATACAGAATAATGGTGCCGCTATCTCTCCAATATTTCCTAATCTCCAGTAATTATTTTCCCTGATTCATCCTCAACATTTCTAATGCGTTAGCTCACCTTTCCTCTCATTGATTTAATTATATTTAATTTCTTTTCATTATTGAGTAATTTACTTAAAACTCTTCATGGGTTATAGTGCTATGTTTTTTTCTTATTAATTTCACTTTTCTGTTCATAATGTTGTTATAATCTACAATGATTGATAATTACTTTACAGCTTGTAAATCAATTTTTTAACGATTCAAAGTGTAAAAAATAATATTTATTAAAAAAAAAAGAAGCTTAATCGTACACACAAGATTTTTTAAAATTACAATACTAAAAATATTTTAGTCTGAAAGTAACCTGTTCCACAATTTAACAGAGGAAGAACCAGCTGATACTATAGCCAAACCATCTGAACTGAATCCAACTGCTTTCACTTCTCCTTGGTGACCCTGAGTTTTTATAGTTTTAAGAAGAACTGCTTCTTTTTTGCTCTTCAAATTCGTTGTAATAGAATATAATTCTAATTTATTATTGCTCAATGATACAGCAACCTTAAACAAGAAAATTCATACATAAATTATGGATAACATACTATTAAAAGATACCTACAGAACATTTATAAATAAAAAGATTTTACATCAAAACAAAAGGAAATTCACACAAAATTTTATATGCAAGTCTCATTAAATTATAATAAGGATTTTTGCTTCCTCATTATCAAAAGTAAGAAAGCTTTAGCTTTGTATTTGTGCGAGAAAGCTTTGTAATCGAAAATTTACACTTATGTTTTACATCTCAAACAGATTTATTATTAAACGTATGATTTTTTTTTTTAAATTACATTATCTACTCATATATTACAAATAATTTTAACTGTGAAAGTAATGATGCTCCAAAAAAACATAATGATTAGAAATAAGAAAAATAATACTACTATCTACATTAACAAATCAGAAAAGTGAACATATCTTATGAAAGGAATAAATAAGTATAAAGGAGATTTCAACTGTACCCTTAACTCTGAGGCTCCTCTGACTCCAGATACTGATTTTACTTTACCACCAGCTTTTATTTTAGTTAATCTTTTAACAATATCTATCAAAGTAACGTCTGTTGAAACGATAGTGTCAGGGCTAAAAGTAAGAAAAAATAAAATAAATTCTAGTAACAATAATAAAATAATGATAATCCACAAATAATATTTTTTAAGTCAATAAAAACAGAACAAAAAATTATAAATATTTATTGGAGCAGTGGCTGGTCATTTAAATTTTTGAAAAGATCAACTTCACTAATAGCATAAATAATCAGAAAAATTATATTAATCAGGAAATATTAAAAATGTTTTGCTTTATCATCACGGCACAACACAATGACGAGCCTTGCTATCGGTCAAGACAGTCCTATATGGCCGTCATCCAATCCAGAACACTTAAAATATTTTAGCTTCAAGAGCTATTTCCTGAAGTCACGTTTCATCAAGATATTAATTTTTTATTCTGACAAATTTCTGTCAATTCTTTCCTTGACAGATCTTCATCCATTTGAACATGTCTAGGTAGGCAACCTTACCTTGCAAATCCATCCAACCTGGACAATAGCCAGTTCTTAGTAAATATCACACAGTTTTTAGATCGTTTCTCATCTTGAATCATGATGAACCCAAATAATTCTTATTAATAATAATGTATACAAACTTTTTTAAAAAGTGGAGCTAGTCTAACCAAGGTTTTCATCTTGACAAAACTCACTAAATGTTTTTTTTTTCAGGAAACATTTAGTGTCAAAATAGAATTAAAACAGATATTATTTTACAAAAGAATCAATAGATCTATCTACCTGGCAATCTTAGTAAAACACTTATGCCTAACTCCTTAAAAGTAATATATTCCAATAGAAATTATTAATTCATTACCTTAACTTTTTTTTCTGTTTTGTGGCTCTCTTTTGTGCTTCAGCTTTTGCTTCTTCCTCAGGTAAAAAGTAAAAAGATTCTATCATCGAATCCGTACCATGCAATAATAATAACCTTCCTGAATTATCAGCGGTCATACTCACAACTCGACCTTTACCTTCTCGTAAAACTGAACCAGCTTTTGTCACTTTCAGATTATTCTAAAAAATAAATAAAGAAAAGCATTAATTAAAATAAGTCAATTGCAAAATATATCATAAACCTATCTATATTTGTATTTATCAGATTTCATTGCATGAAATATAAATTTAAATAATGAAAGCAATAAAATAAGAGGTAATGTAATTGTAATCATTATTTAAAATATGATCCTTGGTGTTTGCACAATGATGATTTACTCTATGCAACAGTCCAAAAAGCAATATATTTCTGGAAGAGATTTTATCTAGTATCATCAGTCTATCTAATCTGGAGTAGTAGGCCACTAATTGGTGTGGAAAGCAGTTTTGTTTTAAGTCTTGGAGGTTTTGCCAGGCCAAAAGAAATGATGACTAATTGCATAAAGGAGTAGGCACCTACTTATTTTTTTCAATCATACCAGAATTACCAACAACAGTCCATAACAATTAAGAAAAATGCAATTGGGGTTGGTAACTAGCATCTTGCTCAGAGTAAATAATGGTTTTCTCTTAAGGAATAGCTCAGCAGAAATTACTCTCTGAAAAAATAATCTCAGCATGGTATTACCACAAGGTTGTGGTAATACCATGCTGAGATTATTTTTTCTGAACAGTGGTTTTCTGAACATAACATAATAGCTTTCGACAGAAAGGTTAGCAGCATCATTTATATTGTCATTGAGCCAGGGAAAGCAAACGTTTGCTGAATCCATAACTACTAGTTTGAAGATGGAACTGGGGTTCACTGATGGCTGACAAAAATATGAAAGCACCAAACATTTTAACAAAAAGTCTGATATACTAGACAAAAGGACACAAATGTCAAGATAACATGTCATACATTGCCTTCCCACAAATCATGAAAAGGGAATGAATGAGGAAATCTTGATATTGTATTCATTCTTATTTTACTAATGTTACTCATAAAAAACCAAAACTTCAAATTAAAAATTTTTATGACTTTTATCAAGTGTCTAAGATTTTGTAAAATCTGGTGCACATATCATACAACTTTTACTTACCGCTCAACTTTGAACAGAAATAATTTTCTGACAATGCTGTGCAATTACAAAGTTTTTGAAATGTATTTATAACAGAGCTAATCCTTAATCCTTAGAGCTAGCCTATAAGAACTCAATAAGGCTTCTTAATGATTGATTTATTAAAATAAATCAAACCCTTTTTATGAAATCACTTTGATTGAACTCAGTGTATTAATGTATAATTGAATGATCTTTACTATCAGTTAGGTTTTATTGATGTTGCTTAACAGGGCTTACATGTTCAATATTCAAAATATCTTCTCCAAAAAGTACCTTTAATTTGGTTCATTTTGAATAATCAACTATCTCTCATTATCAGTAATATCAGTTTCGTATGACTTTTCATTTTTGAGCTCGACTGTTCACGTACACATAAACAGACCATGTTGCAGTACTGGGTTATTTGGAATCAGGGGACTTCAAAACACGTATTTCTGTTGAAAACTCAGATTCAAAAAATGTCACGATCACAATACTTTCCATTACTAAATATTACATACACATGTAAGTGAAAGTAATATTTAGGATCGATCTTAATTTTTTTAATTATTAAAAATTGTAAGCTAATTGAAAAAAAAAAAAGTAAATGTAAACTTACATGAAACTTGGTGACAGTAGCATCACTTAACTCTTGTGGCTGGTCTTCAGTTTTCATAGACCAAACCATTACTTCACAGTCATTGCTTCCTGCAGCAACGTATTCATCTTCTCCGATTAATACTAGACCCCAAACCTAAAAAGAATAAAGCAGTTTTAAATAAAAGTAAATGAACTGTAAGAATAACAAATTTTAAAAATAATTTCATAAGTTAGCTTGATAATATAAAGTCAATGCTACAAATGTTAATCAAAATAATTTAAAATTACAATTGAAATTCTAGTCCAAACTAGTAGACATGTCTATAGACCAATCCCCATTTATGGATCTGTTATGAAACCGAAAATCGCAGGTCTGAAGTCTCCAGATAGGAATGGAAGACATTATGTAACGTTAGACATGTTGAGCCAGAGGTGCCCATGTCCTATAGATCGTTTCTTGTCTATAGACAAATCATGCAACAGGGTCAGCTATTGTGTACTAGACTATAGAATTTACATACTAATGCAATGATTTTACTTACGTTTAGAGACAGGTACTTATATACAACTTAATTGAAAGATGTTAAAAATGACTTAATAAATTAATTTAACAGTTAAAAAGCAAGCTTATTTAGTTTCACTTGTTCAGGAAAAAAAGAGAATGGCTGCTCTGTAGTTTCCTCAAAAAGGAAAATCCCAAAGAGGGGAAGGGACAAAGGTTTTTGTTTAGGCCAGCAGTTGACGTTTGGCTGGAGTGAACAGAGGATAGGAGAAGGGACCTGGCTCCAGTGGGTAAAACCCAGTAATAGTATTATCATCTTGGAAGTTGTTTGGCAGAGAGACTAATTGTTTGGAATTACAAGAGAGAGGATATCCCAGGGAACTTGAGTTGAGTAGAAGAAAGTGTCACCATTTTGGAAGTTGTGTTTGGCAGAAGATTGGAAAGCATTTGAAGACAAATGAATTTAGTGCAACAAAGGAAGAAACAGTATCTATAGACGGGTATGTTTGATTTTATTTTAAAATCAAACAGTGTTTAGTACAGTTAATTTTAGTTTGTCGGAGTGTATTGATCTGATTGTCAGTAACCCATACCTGAGATAATATAATCATGATGTTTAGTTTAATAAATTAATACTCTTATAATTTTGTTTATTATTTAATAACCTCTATTTTTTTTTTGGAAATATCCCAATGGTATAAAGCAATCTTCCATGAGGTCATATTATTATTTGTAAAATATAAGAGAGATGTTAGAATATATTCACAAATTAATTGGTTTAAAACAAAAAATTAATTTAAAATAATATACAAGCTAAAAAAATAATATACAATTATCATTTATTTTTGCCTTCTTATTTGACTGATCACCCAAACTATTCTTCTCTTCATTATTCGCGACAGTCAACCATTTACCCACAATTAAAATGATATACTTTCTATGAAGCATCTATTTTTTCCTTACCTCAGTAACATGGGCTGCAATAGTTTGAAAACAGAATGCTGTATCCAAATCCCAAAACTTGATAAAGGTATCTTTACTTGAAGAAATAAGAACATTTCGTTTTTTCATAAACACTAATGATGTAATAATTCCTTTGTGACCACTAAGTCTTTCTATTCCATTTTCAGCAATCAGATCCCATGTAACGATTTCGGTATCCTAAACATCAAAATTTAAAATTAACAAAAATAAAAGAAGAACATACAAATATCTTATATTTAAATAAATTAAACATGTAATAATCATGCCTTTCAATCCATAATGTTTTAATTTGATAAAAAAAATTATGGTCAATGAAGTCTCAAGAGTATTCCGAAATAAATCTGATCAAGTCTATATTATAGTTTTCAGATAACAAGGGTTAAAGGATATTAAAACAAATTGAAACCTATCGTTTCAGAGAATACATTTATTTATATTGCTGTTATTTAAAGATATTTATTTTTAGAACTAGCTTTGAGTCGCTACTACAAGGAGGTGGCCGGTTTTAAGATCACTCAGTGCACACTGTACATGGAATCCAAAAACTGTTTGAAAGTAGCACAGATGACCGAACACTAACTCAATGTGTGTATACATACAACTGCTTGAACCGACTTGTCAAAATTTGGGTACTTCGTAGGAAATAAATATACAAATAAACAATTTTTTTCAGACCTATAATAATCTTCTGGATTATTAAGCACAATAATTACAAATAACAATAATTTTGTCACTAGGAACTTATGGTCCAATAATGTTAGTGAAAAAAAAACAGCCTTATCCAAACAATAAAAAAAAAAAAAAGAAACTTGCCAGAAATTGTTCGTTATCCTCCCCATAATAATATATATTAATGTACAGGATCATTTTTATAGAAATTTTAAAGTACTTTATTATTGTACTAAACAATCTTTACGGAAAAACTCATAGTTTTTTAGATATTGTCAAAAAACTAGAAAAAATACCAGTTATTTGTCCTTCTCCTCCTCCCTCAATCAAAACAATTTCTGACAGGTTTCATCTTTATATTTTTAATGTTGGGGTCAATTCCTAATTTTTCTGGACAATTGGTTAAAACTAATAGAAGTTGAATTGAAGTACTGCTGCAATCAAAATTAAGTTTATATTTTGTACATATATCTCCATATCCTACCTCACATAATTATTAATAACATAATTTTAATAATACTACAACTGAGTGCCTTTTTCAACCATCAAGAAAAAAAATCCTTTTTTTTAGTTAAATAAAAAATAGGTTGTTAGGGCAGATATATCATAAGTGAACATGACTGTCAATACTTCGCTGCTTTCGGTATTTCATCCGGTATTTAAGTAATTACAGGTAAGTACTGGTATTTAAGTAATTAAATTTAAGTTATTCGGTATTTAAGTAAGCTAAAAAAAAAAAACCTGTACCACTACAACCCATGAAGGATCTGGGGTTCAGTACTATTTAGGGAAAGCACTGTTTCTAGGTCAACGGTTGTGCAAGGAGGTGATTTGACCGAGATCACGCTCAACCGCCAGGTTTTCCCCCTTATTTAATTATTTAATTAAGAATACCCACTTTATAGAGGCTGGGTGTGCCTCAGGAGGGACTTCTGACCCAAGGTTGCCCCATGGCCAATGAAACAGATAAATAAATTTTCTGCCATGAGCCGGTGTTCGAACTCGGGACCTTTGCATTGGAAGCTCAGTGCCCTACCACTGAGCTACCCCGCTCCAAGAGTTAAGTTATTTGGTATTTAAGTAAGCTAAAAGCTATCTTAAAATCAGGCATCATCTAGGATAAGTGAATCTGAACTAGTATCTTATTGTTGCTCCACTTAGATGGGTCATATGATCACAAAATAAATAGAATTCTAAGAATGGCCAAGCATTGAAGTGTTCACAGGTATATCCTACATCCTCATTTAAATCACAATTTACGACTTCTACAAATTCCCAATTGATCCTTTTCAGTTAAAATCATAGCTTTAATTACATCGCTGCTTTTGGCTTTCACTCGTTCAAAAGTGATAACCTACAACAAGTCCTTTTTAGTTGAGATTTGTTTACCTATCAAAGTGGAACAACTCTCATAAAGTTGTAACCCTTTATTTATTTTTAAAATGTAAGACATCGGTTTTAAAATGAATCATTCAAAGACATAATGAAGGTGATTTGATTCAATTATAAACTGAAAGATTTTCAGAGGCTAAGATAATTGCCATCTGTTAGAAAATAACTAGCAGGGACATATTTCCTTTGACTCCAATATTATAATATGCTGCCGATAAATATTAATCCACATAGAACAATTTTTTTAAAACTGTTAAACTTGATACACATCAGTTCTGAATACCCCATAGTGATATAAAGATATTGAAAAACATACCTTGGATCCAGAAGCTAGTCTATGTCCTTCTTCATCAAAGGACAATGATGTTATTGCTGAGCGATGTCCAGAAAAAATTGTTTTCAGTTCTCCTGTAATAGTATTTGTTATGCCTATTTTACCATCAGAATATCCAATAGCTATATGGATACGGTCAGGACTAGCAGCTATATGAGTAACTTCAACATGGTTTTCATTGGGAATAACAAGTGCCTAAAATAAAACTAAAATAATTTATTTGCAACAATTTGGGAAATTGAAAGATCAGGAAATATAAATCACCTTTTCTCCTAGGCGAAGATCCCACACAAAAACATTTTCACAACCACCTACTGCAACATATCTACCTTCTTGCCCTTGGTAAACAATGAAGGTAATATTTGAATTACTGCTAGTAATAATATTGAAAGTGTCTAATGGAGCATAGCGTAGATATTGCTTTGTGATACCCATATTTTTTTATTTGGTCTACATAAATTGACTACTATATCAAATCTTACACTACCATGAAAACCTCAGTGAAGGTTACATAAGGTTATAAACTCGAAGCGCACGTGGTTTACTCAGTGTTGACCCAATTAATTGACAAACACTACTATTCAAGCCACTATATTATGAATGTTAATATCGAAATATCAAAAAAAAATTTTTGGGCTTTGTTTTAAATATCCCAAAAAAGTTATCTGATGCGATATTAGATCCCTGTTACCTGGCCAGATAATGTTTTTAGATATTTGATGTAATTGAGAAATATTAAACACCGACGTACTTTTTTTTTAGCTTTATTAATTATTTAAATCAAAGTGTACTTTTAGAAAGACAAATTACATAATGAGCTCGCCACTTTTCAGCAAGTAGCTAAAAAGTTTCCATATCCAAATTTACGACTGGGAGCTGTATGACTTCTGTTTTCAAGACTAAAATGGCATTGATAGATTGGTTGTTCTTTGGACCCTGAATAAGCCATTCTAAATCTTAAACCAATTGAAAAAAAAACTGGAGAGAGTCCCTAATAAATCCGAGCCTCTATGGCACTAACGGATCCAGGTTTTAATTTTGGGAAGGGCTTCAGCCCGAAAGATTTTTTTAAGATAATTACTTCGGAAGAAAGAAAGAAACTAAGTACCCATATGAAATGACACTTAAAAGATTCTTCAAGTCCTATTAAATGTAATTAGACGAATAATAATACTTTTATAGATAATGTTTTTCATAAACCATGGTTATATCTTACCATTTTGGGGGGAGGAGGTGCTTCAGCTGAAAGGCTCCTCTCCCTCCTCCCCTGTAAACTCGCCTGTGCTCTATGGTGTTACGGAAATGGCACTACAACACTCCACAGAGGGGAGGGGGGGGTTATTTTTTATTTTCTCAATTTCATAGTGAGTTTAAAAAAAGGTTCTTTTTCTTGGCATAATACAGTCTTATTTAGCATCACTTCCAACCAACCAAAATCCTTACTAACCATCTTCGACTAGCCATGCTCCTCTCCTAATTAAAACTATCCAACATCCCCCTGCTGCATGGCTGACACCCGCTTTGAGAGAGTTCATGAGAAGAAGAGATGCTGCAAGACGGCGATTTAAACGTACCCAACTCCTGGAAGGCTACATCGCCTTCAAGCAACTTCGAAATAGCATCCACCCTGCTATACGCCGAGCCAAATCCCGTTATTTCCATCATTCCTTATACAGGGATACACCCTACACCCCAAACTTCAGGGCCAAATGGGCTATCCTAAAAAAACTGACCATTTGTAACACACCTCAAACCCAGCTCATTTCCTTTTCTGCCGATGACCTTAACGCTCACTTTGTCTCCGGTTCCTTCTCATCCTCACCTCCTGCTACCATACCGGCTCCTCTGTGTTTCCCTTCTAATTTTGATCCTGATCACTTTTTTTCCCCATATTATACCTGATGACCTCCTCAACTTCATTCAGAAATCGCAAACCAATGATTATGGACCTGATAACATCCCAGCCAGACTGATCAAAGTCTCACTACCTTCCATCCTTTCAATCCTCTACCATATCTATAATTGCTTACTACAAAACGCTACCTTCCCTACATCCTGGAAAACCACACTAGTGCGCCCTACGAATAAGACTTCCAATCCATCAACTCTTAATGATTTCCGTCCAATTTCTCTCTTCTCATACCTTTCCAAAACTTTAGAGCGACTAGTTCAAACCTAGATATCCGACTTTTTAGAACAGAATAATCTCCTAAATCCCAACCAGTCCGGCTTCCGGCCCGGTTACTCCACTCAATCTGCCCTCATCAAAATTTCCCAAGACATTCATACAGCCATGGACCAGCAGAAACTCGCCATCCTAATTTTCCTTGACTTCTCCAAAGCCTTCGACTCAGTAGACCACAAAATTCTCCTAACCAAGCTTAAAAATATCTCCTTTTCACCTAGTACTCTTAATTGGTTCCAATCCTTCCTTACCGGCCGGTCCCAATATGTTGTAGTCCCCAATAATCTCCCATCAGAATCTTTTCCCTTGTCCAGAGGTGTCCCACAAGGCTCCTCTTTATCTCTCACCCTTTTTTCCATCTACATCAACCCGACCTGGAAACCCGACATCTCCCAAATTTCCCGCCGTACCATCTCTACTCTGAAACAGTTTAACCGTCTCCGCTATCTCCTTCCGTATAAATCCCAACAACTCCTGGTTTCCTCCCTTGTGTTCCCCCACTTCGAATATGGCTATCTGGTGTACGGCCGACTCTTGGGAGAATTCGAGGCCAAACTTAAAACGCCTGATGAACTGCGCAATACGTTTTGTTTTCGGAATCTCAAGAGATACGCATATAACCCAGTATTACACCAAGTTGAAGTGGCTTTATTCATCCAACCGCCGTATATACTTCCTTGCTACCTTTCTATACCAAGCCACCAGAACTCAGCGACCTTCTTATATTTTTCACATCCTACAATTTAAATATTCCATTAAATTCCGTCCCACTAGATCTCACCGAACTGCTGCGTTTGACAAATCCTTTATAATTCAAGCCGTCTCCACCTGGAATACCATCCCTCCCGATATCCGACATGCGCAATCAGTTTCCTCATTTAACTCTCATTTAACCTTTTTAAGCACCTACTTCTTTCCCAACCCGATTGATCATGAAAAGTAGATAAGAGAACTTTTTAAGTTCACCCAGAAATGGTTTTGTTTAATTATGTTATTTTATTTTCACATTTTTGTATTGTATATATCTGTATGTATTCAGTGATTTTGTTTTATTTTTCTTTCAATATTTTTATTTTAATGAGCATTGTAAATATTTAATTTAATTTTATGGCCACACAGGCTATCCGAAGCTACCTCAGCGGAAGATCTCTCGTCGTACGAGTTGGTACAGACTACTCAAACCCAGTCGATACCACCTGCGGAGTACCTCAAGGGTCTGTGTTGGGGCCAATACTGTTCGTCGTTTTCACGGCGCCAGTGGTGGCACTCAAGCATCCAAAGGCGGTGGTAGCAGCCTATGCGGACGACATTGGCATAAATGCTTCCAGCATCAACGCGGAGACTGCACTCACTCTGGCACAGAATGCCTCAGCCACAATTGTTGAAGAGCTAGAAGAGATCGGTATCAGAGTGAATCCTGCGAAGACTGATGCTATTGTCATGTCGTTTCAGAAGGGAAAGAAGCATCTACCCACACAATCCACCGTTGGAGGAGTTTATCATAAAATCTCTACCTCGATTGTCTACCTCGGCGTCACGCTAGATAGACATTTGACCTCCAATCACGTTAGGCAGAGGATCAAGCTGGCACGAAAGAAGTCGCACCGGCTCTACCACCTACTGACGTCGCCGCAGCTCTCGCTGGGACTCAAGCTCCAAATTTATAAAGCTATTATAAGACCAACACTACTCCACGGGGCCCCTCTCCTGCGATACCTATATAAATCCACGCTTACGAGTCTACAGGGCTTCCAGAACTCTATCCTTCGGCGAATTGTCCGTGGCACCACCCTACAAAGGGCTAAGAATCAAACAATACGCGAGGGGCTCCAGCTCCCCTCGGTACCTGAGTTCATAGGCCGGAGGCACATCAAATTTTTTGATGGGCTGAAGACCTGTGCAAACCCACTGTTCAATGAGATCTCACCACCACCCAGACCTGGGAGGTGGCAAGGTAAACTCCCTTTGGTGGACATACTCGCCGAAGGATGTGGTCTGGTCTCTGCGGTCCAAACTCATTAATTTGTATATATTGTAAATAATAAAAAAATAGCAGAACGGTCCTTCCCCGTTCAATGTCAAAGTCACGAGGCCTTCTGCCACATATGTAACCCTTAGCTATCCCCAATCCTTAAAATGCCCTTGGGCAGTGGAAGGAATTTATTGCATGTATATATTGTATTATTGTATATTATATATGTAATTGTTTCAATAAAAATTTTGGAGGGTAAGAAAGAAAAAAAAAAATGTATATTTGTAGTGTTTGGTGAACTAAAGATATGTGAGTAGGGCGTTCAATCCTACGTCACCCCCTCCAGCAAGTCTGGTGGGCCCCTACCTCCAGCAAGTCTGGAGGTTCCCTCCCTCCAGCAAGTCTGGAGAGCCCCTCTCATTGTTGGTCAGCGAGTCCAACGGACTTAGCCGGGAGGAACTTCCAAGGAATTTCCACCGACCGTCCCCACATCCGCCACCCGTGGGACGCCCCCCATACGCGGTAATGAGCCCCCGCGAGGCTACTGGTGATATCGATATAGATGGTAATATGTTTGAACAGGTATATAAATTTAGGTATCTAGGTTCTACGATAACTAGAAAAAACGAAATTGAAGAAGAGATTAAGGTTAGACTGACGGCGGGGAATGCTTGTTATTTTTCTGTGACAAAACTACTTAGTTCGCGCCTCTTGTCCCGGAACTTAAAAATTAGAATCTATAAAACAATTATCTTGCCTATAGTTCTTTATGGATGCGAAAATTGGCCGCTTACATTAAGGGATGAGCAGCGTCTTAAGGTTTTTGAAAATAAAGTATTGCGTAGAATATTCGGACCGAAGAAGGATGAGTTAACCTGAGAGTTCAGACGGTTACACAACGCCGAATTGCGTGAACTGTATCCGAGTAATATAATTGAGATAATTTCATCGCGGCGAATCAAATGGACTTGTAAAGTTGTTGGGATTAGTAATGAGAGAATTCCTAAAAGGTTAATATTTGCTGTGCCGAATGGTAAGCGTCCGAGGGGTAGACCGAAGAGAAGGTGGGAGGATTGCATTAAAGCCGATCTGAAGGGACTGGGTTTGGACGGCGAACGGTGGAGGGAGGTGTGTAATAAACGATTGGTGGTGTAGGCATCGAACCTTCCGGTTCGTTAAGCCTTTTATTATTATTATTATTTTATATTGTCATTGGTGAATCCAGAGGAGGGAGAGGCCCATTAAAACATCTTTGCTTGGTAAAGCAAGCCCAAAGCACCACTGCTTTGATAAGAAAGAATATTCTGTGACTCCTAAAGAATATTTTGAAAAATAGTTGGGTAAAAAACCGCTTTCTGTTTTGTTTCTATCGATAAAAGTTGTGTGAATGCACGTTAGTACACATCATCTGCACATGAGAAGCGGATTTAAAATCTGATAAAAACCTTTTTATTCAGTTCCCATTGTATTGGTGCTTAAATCCTGTCTTGCTATGATTAATGGTCTAGGACCCTACCTCTTTGTTAGCGTTAGCATAAACAATTATAACATTGTAGTAACCTTCGAAGTTGTCAATGTTGATAACAAATTTCTCTGAAACGTGTTTTTATACTGTTGATTATGGTACCTGGTGTAAAAAATATAGTTTTTGTTTTGTCTGGAAAGGGGGGTGTGGGTAAATCTACTTTAAGTGTTCAATTAGCGTTGGCAATAAAAGAAAAAGGCTTTAAGGTCAATACAATGTTTTGAAAATTAACATTTTTGTGTCGTTTTATTGATAAGCTTGTCATAGATATATATTTGTTTAGGTCGGATTGTTAGATGTTGATCTTTGTGGACCAAGTATTCCATATATTTTGGGTCTAGAAAACAATTCTATTCATCAATCTCCTGAAGGATGGGTACCTGTCTTTACAGATAGTGATCAAAAATTAGCTGTCATGTCAATTGGATTTCTTTTGAATGATAGAAATTCTAGTGTTATTTGGAGAGGACCCAAAAAGACTGGTTAGTTTTATTTGTATTTATATAAATAAATCACTTTTATTTGCACTAATTTATTGACATAAAATTTAATGAATGTACATTTTTTTTATTATGTATATCTTTATACAAATATATTAAGCTGAAGAGTTTATGTATAAATTTATTATGAGTAAAACCATGGGAATTAGATGGTATGCTATTTTAATATATTTATAGTTTTCATTGTTAATATATTTAAAAAATATATACATATATAGTTTCCCGTAGGGGCCGCAGTGGTTGAGCGAGTATAGGTGTCTGCAAAAATACACTCAACGGGTATAGTCTTTTTATTTTGATTCTTATCGAAACCTAAAAGTTATGAGTTCAAATCACATTTACAGGATTCTATAACAAAAAATAAAATAATTAATAAAAATTAAATAAGTGTAGGTGCTACCTGATTACTTAGTCCTCTACAGCTTGGGGACAGTAACATCCCCACGTAAAGATTCACAGGGAGTTGAGCGTCCCCTGTGTCTTACTCCATAACTCCTGATCTTCCAGATTGGGTATTGGGATAGGACTAATAATCCTATCCTCCTCCCCCCCCCCCAAAAAAAAATTCTTATTACCAAACCAAAAAGAAGTCTCAGAAAATCAGCCCATCAGACTAAACATGGGTCATGGAATGTATGTGTCTTATACAGACCTGGAGACGTGAAAACAGTAGTCAAAGAACTAAAATGGTATAACATACCGTCAATAGCCTTTCAAGAGGTAAGATGGTCATTTGGTGGTGGAAGTGCTATCAATGGCCATACTCAATTATGCTGTGGAAGAAATGATGAAAATGTCACAGCCGGTACGGGATAGTTAGTCCAGTAGCAAGGAAATTAATCATAAACATGTATTTATAATGCCCCAGGAAAAAAAAATCTAGTTTTCACTTATTAATATATTTTATATATACCTTATAGTCATCTATATCTACCTGTCAGTACTTTTTTTGGGTTGGATTGGCAAACTTAAATCATTAGTTGGCAGTCTGAGAACAAACTCATTGTTTCTTTTATCATGTGAGTTCACTCTCAAACTGCCTATTGATTGTTTGTAAGCTATTGAATTTAAATATAGTATATCTTAATTATTTTTACCAATGTTTATTTATTCAACATTTTATTACCATTATTTACTCAAATTTATTACTGTTAATGATACGATTTTTAAACTATCCATAATTCTATTATTTCTTATTAATTGTATATCAATAAGTTTTACATATTATTCATGATCTATTATTTTTTTTTAGCGATGATAAAACAATTTTTAAATGATGTTTATTGGCAAGATATTGATTATCTTATAATTGATACACCACCTGGAACTTCAGATGAACATATAACGATTGTGGAAAGTGTCAAGTTGGTATTAAAATTAATTAAGTATAATAATTATGAAATATTTTGATAACCATCCCTGAAATAAATTTTTTTTCTTAATGTGACAATTTAATTTATTGTTTTTATAATAACATTTACTGTTATTCTTGAATAGGAAGAAGTGTGAAATTTCTTTGTAAGAAAAAGAACCTTATTTGTAGATCTAATGAAATGATAGTTGAATTTTCAAATAATTTAGACTTAATTAATAAAAAAAAATTCTGAGTAAATAAGTTTTGATTTTCATTGGATTTTTATTTTAAGGTTTTATCTTTAACATTGAGATTTAAATTACTTTTAGAAGCGCTATCTGGCTCCATGATTAAGCTTATTCTGTGGTAGTTATTTACTCACTGATACTATTCCTTAAACAATGTTGTTTTTGTTCAGAGGTCTGAATTCTGGAGCTGTAATTGTAACAACACCTCAATCTGTTGCAATTGAAGACGTAAGGAAAGAAGTAACATTTTGTAAAAAAACTGGAATTCCCATCATTGGCATTGTAGAAAATATGAGCGGTTATGTTTGTCCTAATTGTTCTGTAAGTATTTATTCTTTGTCTGCACTTAACATTTATGAAAAATCTAAATTCCAATATTTATCCTAGAAAATAATTTAGTATGGTCTTCGTTATTGTGTGGCTGGATTGCTGTTTAGACTGTTTCCAGATTACAGAAATTTGCCAAACTGTTTGAAATTTTAATGTTTTTAATTTTTCCGTAATAGTGTTGTATATACGTACACTTCATAGTGTGTAGCCATATTAATTTATAGGTATATTTTTATTATTTAAATTTTAAAAAATGGTTGGATTCTTTTTTATTCCTAGTCATTGAGTATAGCTAACGCAATCTTAGCTTCATTCTATTGGTTTCGTAGTGAAAGAAAGCTTTTAACTAGAGCCTACAGAGTGCGTCGGGATTTATTTTGGAGTTTTTCTTGTAGAATTCATGAACTGTTGTGGTTGACAACTAATTACTCCATCTCTTCTCTGACTGTCTCGATCATTTTCATTCTTGTTTTTGCGTTCTGTGTGAAACAACCCTCAGTTCAATTGCTGTTTATATAAATTATCCTTTATTCAGTTTATATAAATTTTATTTAGTTAAGTCGAATCATTTTAGTTAGAAATTAAATCAAATGTAGAATTAATTATTTTAATTACTTTTTAGTGATAAGTTTGTCTTTTTTATGCTTTATTTTGGTATTTTCTTTAAAATGGAATCTTCTTCTGCCAAAAGTTTTATTTGGCACAAAACAATAGTAAAATGTTGTGATTGTCAGGTTGGTCTGTGTGTAGACAAGTGCTTTGAAGATTAGCACACAAAATTATATTACTAAATATATATTTAAACATAAAAAAAAAAAAGAAAATTACGTCCAGCAGTGTCAGTCTTCAGTCTGAATCAAAAAGGAGTAAGGGAACAATAATAGTTCAACAGATAATAGTAATGGGCTGGTATTGAAGGATGATAAGCAGGTAAGAAGTATGTAGCACAGGCCATTATGCTGGAAGCCGCCTCGCTTAGTGCTGTTATAGATGTACAGCTGCAGCGAAAAGGTTAAAAGAAAGATTGAGCATTCAATAGTTTATTATTTAAATTAGCTTTGGACTGTCTATGACTTTTAATGACAAAGAAAGTCTTATGACATTTGATAGTTAGAAAGCTGGTAAATTGCAGAATTAATCTTATGTTTGTTCAAAAAAAATATATTAAAGGAAATATGAGATTGTACATCTCACTTTATCAGCTGTTTCATAAATAGTTCAACTTATATTGTTGAGGTTGGGTCTAGTGTATTGAAGTGATTTTCAATTTTCACAATTTTTATGTTAGTAAAGCATTGACTTGTTTGATATTAATTGTTAATTAAGGGACTTAACACTTAAATAGAAAATCTTCTAATTATGATATAACTATTATTTTTATTTCTGAGTACCTGATCTTTGTTTCTAAGTGCCTGATCTTTGTTTACATTGTTACAGGAATGCACAAATATTTTCTCAAAAGGAGGAGGAGAACTTCTTTCCAAACACGCTGAAGTCCCATTTTTAGGAGCTATTCCAATCGATCCACTATTCAGAGATAGGAAACAGTCTGATGACAATTCTCCTTCTATATCAGCTTTGCAATCCATTGTTTCAGTGATTATATCCTCTAACTCTTAATTTTTTTCAGTTTCCCAACATTCTATGTTTATAGTTTACATAGAAATTGACTATTGTGATATAATTAGAATGAAATGGCCTAATAGCCAACGCCAGAGGCATTAAATAAAAAAAAAAAAAAATTAGAATGAAATACTATTGTTAATATTTGTTATTAAAATATATTTTATTATCAATAATAGATTCTTGTATAATAATTTGTTAAGCTATGGTGGAGTTTGTAAGAAGTCTACATCTTGGTTTTTTGATCAGTACCACCTGATTAATTAAATACTAACAATCTCAGGTGAATATTTAATGTTATCTAATTGAAGTACTGTGCATAAAAGTTATAACTGATCGTATATGTGTATTATTTATATGCTTCTCTGTTCAAGTTATAATTATGGTATGTGATTCAGGGTCTGAATCAAATCCATACTTCAGAGCCTTCAGAGTTAGAAAAGTCATTTATTAATCTTCTGTGCCATGCGATAGTGCTATAAGTACTGTATTTTATGTGTATATCTCTGGACTGATACAGATTAAGAAGGCTTTCTGAACTGTCAAGTGGAGTGTTTGTAATGAAATAATTGCCTGAAAGTGTTCATATATTAAAGACTGCCTTTCTAAAGAATTTTCTGCTCTGCTAAGCAAAAGAAAGTGATTTATTTGTGTTATTTACATATATCATTCTTTTAATTAGTTGGTTTATAATTTAATGAAGAATTTTCAGTTTATACATTTATTGGTTTTAAATTGGATTTTTTAAAAGCATTAACTGTTCTGACGCATGGTGGGGAATTAGTTTTCTTTTTAATTTAGCTTGTTTTTAATTTATTCAGAAACCATCCAGTGGCAAAAAAACTTAACATCTTATTTTTCATTACTAATTGATATTGTTTTGATAACTTGTGTAGTACAGTAAACTATTTCGAGATTGTTGTGCTAGGGCATCTTCTTAGCAACCTCAATTCAAAAACGGATCTGGTTTGGTTGGCTAGGTTGAAACTTAAAATATATTCTGTAGACTGATTCATGGAATGAAATGAAATGAAAATATATTTTTTTATTCTTGGACTGTTGTCCCTTTAGAACAGTCTGGCTGAAATAGATTGAACCATCTTTTATTTTTATAACCACCTTTTATGCCAGAAATGGCCGGGTAGGTGGTAAAAGAAAAAAAAGCACAGTCAACTATCTATCATTTCATGTTAAATTTAGGAATACATAAACTGTCAACATTTTTATTATCCTTTTAAAATATAAAATTAGCCTATTTTTAAAAGGGAGCGGGAAACTTGGTGTAAAAAGTTATGACAATTACAAAATTAAAAAATATAGGAGCACTCTGTTGAAACAAAGTTTGGAATTTTAGCACAATTTTGTACAATTATAGCACAAGTTATACCACAAACTTAATTGCAACTGAAAAGAATTATTCCTAGGGCAAAAAACTAAAATCGGTTTAAATAATAAAAAACACAAGTGTATGTAATTTTCAGGCTGATACTTAAGGATATTCTAATATTATTACTAGATTAAAATTTTAATGATTCAAAATATATCAACAGTCAAAATGAAATTTAAAAACTGACTATAGTATAAATCACAGCGATCTATAAGAATAATGATTAAATCACACATATAGCTATTGAGTTACCTTAAACAAAAAATGGCACCAAAACAATATGGATACATTCATGCAGCCCGAAGATTTATTCAGCCTTAGTAATTACCTAGTTCTGCCATAAATACTGTTACAAAAGTTTGTACTTTTAGTTTGTACGTAATTTGTAACTTTGTTCACATCCTTGGATATTATTTAGAAAATCCTTACCTCTATCAGGTTATTTTCTTTACATGTCAGAATAATAATCCCAATTAGTTTGTATTTTTCTTTCACTCAGTTAACATGGAGTGGGGTGATAAAGAAGGCCGAATAGCTGTGATCGCCTTACACAATGTCGGAAAATGTAGGTCAGAAATTTTCAGCACTTTGAAACCTTTAGGTATCAGCCATATCTTCGTGTAACACACTATAAATAGATATGAGACCTTATCTGTATGTGGCTGGGCCGTCCCCGCACTGTGAGAACGGCAAATGCAGTGAGATCAGTGGCTGCTCGAATCAGAAGAAATCCCATTCGAAAACAACAAATCATATCTCGGGAAATGGGAATCTCTGTCAGATCAATGTTTCGCATAATAAAAGGTGATCTTAGGTTGGTGCATTTTGAAGAATGATAGGACAAAGCCTAACCACTTCCCTAAAAAAAAAAAATAGAGTGAATAGATGCAAAGTGCTCCTTGGCCGTTACACCAATGGTGTTCATCGAAAGATTTTATTTAGCGATGAGATAATTTTTACAATTGAAGTAAAATTTGATCGCCAAAATGATCATGTGTACGCACACAGCTCTAAAGACGCCCAGGAAGTCATTGGAACAGTTGAAAGAGGTCATCATCCTTCCTCAGTGATGGTTTTGTGGGAAGTTTGCTTTGATGGCACCACAAAACTCCATTTTTTTAAAAAGGAGTTAAAATAGCAGCTAAAAACTATCAGGACAATATTTTGGAACCTGTTGTCAAGCCTCTTAACGATACTCTTTTGCTAAAAGTCATTGGGTTTTCCAGCAGGATTCCGTTCCAGCTCACAAGGCCAGGTCATCTCAGCAGTGGCTGCAAAAAAACATTCCAGAGGTCATCCCTGCCTCGGATTGGTCATCAGGAAGCCCTGTTCTTAACTCACCAAATTACCTGCTTTGGTCTGAACTGGAGAGGATGGCATGCCATAGAGCACACCCTAACTTGGAAAGGTTCAAACAATCTTTGGTTTGAACAGTTGAGCACTTTCCTTAAGAAGTGCTGCGTGCTGCTATTGATGACTGGCCAAAAAGATTAAATGCCTGTGTCAAGGCAAAAGGAGTACATTTTGAGTAATTTCTTTTTTGTTTTACACTATAGATATACATTTTATTTTCTAATAAAGTTTTTGAAAAAATTAATTTTTCTGTTGAAATCTGTATAAGATAACGTTTATATCTCTCCATGTTTCTTTTTTCATAATGAAGCATCAAGATGTAATATCTATGTAGTAAGAATGGAGAGCATTATATAAAAAAAATTACTCTCACACCAGATCTTAATTTTTACATCTTGTCAGCTATTCCATTCCCCATGGAGACTCAAGTAATTTTCTGTCTGTTGAGGTATACTGCCTTCTGTTAGGATGTATCATCGCTATGTTATATAAAGCCTGCGAGAGACTGACAGACTGGTCTATGACAGTCCTCTTTCTGTTAAATCAAATCTAAGGCATTGGATTTCTTTTTCTCTGGTCAATTTTTTTTTCTATTCTATATGTGATACTCCTTTACTTACTAAAAATGATCGCAAGAATGAATATGTATCTAAACAAGTTTATTAATTTTGTGTGCTGTTTATCTACTTTTGCTTTCACATTAGAAGTTTACTTGGTGCCATTGTAATGTTTTAAGTTGAAAAAAAATGAATAAAACAACTGAGGGCTATTGAATTTTTAAGTAAAATATGATGAGCAAAGGAGTAGAAATTTCTATGAAAATTAAGATAACTTAAGAAGTCTCTTGATCTAGGAGTCATATATTTCTCCAAAATCATCGTCCTTTAGTTCTAACCATATTTCATATTTAATATATATTTATTTAAGGACTTAATGAGATCAACATCTGGCCAATGAGTCCTTTCGAAAGTGAACATCAATTCATTTGACAACTTACAAGATTCAAATTATGAAATCTTGAAACGACCCAGTTCAAGATCTTGGATAAACTAGTACCCTTTTCAGTCTTAGCAAATTATTTTCTTTTGTTTAGTGACAGATATGACTACTGTACTAAATTAGCTGTAAGAGCCAAATTAATTCACTCAAAAAGATCATTTTGTTATGAAAAGGATAATTTATAGAAATGAATAATTTTCAAATTCCATAGAATTCTGAATTTAAATTCAGATTGCATGATTATTTGACTTCCTGTTGTTAACTTTGAATTTTATCTGGATAAAAAATTGTGAAATTGGAACAAAAACTAGGAAAAAAAAAATTTAGTTCTCTAGGAATGATTTAATTTGTATAATATATAATTATATTTTGATGATCATTATTATTTATGAATACTTTAATATTATTCCTAGAGAAACACACTTAAGTTTCTTTCAAATTATATCTAAATCTTTAACGGAGGGGGGGAGGGAGAGGAGGAAAGGAGTCCATTTATGTTTACTTATCTTTTAATTTAACTATAAACAATTAAAATAAATAAATTAATAAATAAGTGAAAGCTAGTAACAACTTAATTAGTTGTAAAAAACAAAAAAATAAAATAAAACACTACGCTTCTCTTGAAACAAAATTATTAGTGAAATTAACCTAAATATATTGGCAAGCATGATTGGGAGAGTGAGACACTTCCATTGAACCATAAATCAACTTTTTTGACTTGTACCTCAAAAAAACATACTTCCTACCCATTTTGGTATAATTCATGTTTTAAATTAATACATTATTACAATGGTAGCTATCAATGTGTATAATTTTAATATTAGCAAATTTCAGTATCACTTTTAAACAAGAAAGATTTTGTGAGTGACCTTATTTTCAAATCATTTCCTAGATGAAATACACAAACAACTATATAATCATTAAAAGAAAGGCTAATCTATAAATTTTAAAAACGTTCGTTAAACCATTGGTCTTTAACATAGAAATGAAAACAACGTAAAAATTAAAGCTGAGAAAAAAAACATATTTCCAATTTAAGTATTGTATAACAGATATGTAATATACATAATTAAAATCATAATGCTTATTTAATGGAAGTAATAAGTTGGCCAATTCTCATTCGCTTACTATGCGTATAAGAAATAATTTGCAAATATCCTGTATAGTGAATAAGGAGTTTATATAAATCGCCAATAGTAGCGCTAGTTTACATTCATGTACATCATCTAAACTTTCGTTGATTTTCCATTTCTCCTATAATCTCTTTGGCAAAACTTACTTATCTTGAAAATTTTGAATAGAATATAAATAAATTTTAAGTTGTTGAAGCTGTTTATCTTGTATTTTTAATAGTTAATAGGGAATATTTTCGTAATGTATTTGGAATTTGGTAATTAAAAATATGTAAAGAAATTAACCTTGTAAAAATATTATATAAGTTTTTAATATTTAACCCTTAATTAGTGTAATCTGTGTGTACTATTAATTTTCTGTCTTAACCTCTTGTTTTAAAACAAAAACCTTGTTACCAATGCTATAGTTTTGTTGGTTTGTTTGTTAGATATCATTAACAAAGTAAACTGGTGGATAAAACCTTTTCATTTAAAAATAAAACACTAATTATGATATAGTACATAAATTCATTATTTATTGCCAATTTATGATAGTCATTCAATCTCAATTTTTTAGATAATTATTTTCTAATAGATTGTAATTTTCTCTTAAGTTTAACAGTAGTAATTTCTTCTTTTTAATTTGTGTTATTTGTTTAATTATGAATAAATTTGATAATGGTTGAATTTTTTTTTTTACCTAAGCATTTATAAAATTTTGTAAAAAAAAAATACCAGTTGTAAATTAATAAATCACCGGTTGCACTTGAGTCAAGTTTCTGTTATTATATTTTAAAACAAAAGGACTTTTACAACGTGTAGATAGATTTATTGGACAAATTTTATTAATATTGTTTTGTGAGTTAAAATAAAAGATTTTCTGAATTTTTATTCTTATTATAAAATGTATTATTTAAATTAGTTGTATGAAAATATCAAAGTATTTGGATAAAACCAGTCGATATGTCATTTTGGTTTAAATATTATGAATTATTCTCAGTAACTTTTGAAAAATAGTTTGTCTTTTACTAAGGCTCAATAAAACTTTTATGTTGAATTGCTGCTTCAAATTGTAACATTCTTTGGAGTAAATCAATTCTATTGCTCTGTAGAAATATTTTACTATTTATAGAAATTAGCTGTCAGTTAATGAAAGTAATTTAAAATAGAAGTTTACTAATTAAAACCTTAACTAGCACAGTTCTATATATGATGGCTCGTTAATCACTGTCATCTATTGACAGTCTAATTTCTTTCAAGTAGGTAATTCTGTTTGTCGCATTTTATTTATTTTCAAGTTACGTAAAAACAGCATTAACTGAGACCAGATCATAAATATTTTTTATATCTGATTTATAATTCCTATAAAATCACTATAAATGATGTAAATTATAAATAGTTTTTTCCATAGAATATTTTCTCATTTAAAAGAAAATTTATTTGTAACAAAATATTTCTTAATATTTAAGAATCATTAGCTATCATAATGGTATATAAAGTTATTATAGAATAGCTGTCAGCCATACTTTATCCTAATTTTTTTTTTTTAATAGAATTTTATCTTTTTTCAGGATATTATTAAACTAACTTTTGGTTTTTATAATTTTGCAATTACAAGTATAGTATTGTAATATATATTTATATTAATAATATATATTTATAATAGAAAAATAAATTTATTCTGGGACCAAGTTCCTTGAGAATAACGATATGTTACAGAAAGAAAAGAATTAATTTATTAGTTCCATATTTCATTTTATCGTGTTATTAAATTTTCTATAAATTTGAAGGAAAACTACTTAGTTTGATGGAAAATTTAGTGACTTTAAAAACAAATACAGGATTTTAGTCCATACCTGAAGAAATCAACAAAATCTATATATGGGAGATGTTCAGAGTGAAGGTCATAATAAAACAAAGAATTGAAAACAGTTCTTTGCCAACAATGCAAGCCCTTTATATTTTTACGTTATTTTGACAAGGTCATGACCTTTTGCCTCAAATACTATTTGTCATATTACTTCATATATACTTCTCCTGTCATATAACTATTGATGTGGCAAATAAGCCAGTAGCAGTGCCTGTCATAGGGCCTAGCAATTTCCCCAGGGCGCCAATCTTCTGCTGCGCTTGCCGCTTGTTAAGAATTAAAAAAAGTACACAAAGTATTAAAATAATTAGTTTTAACCTAATAAGAAAGCAACTGTGTTACAGGAATATTGAATTGAAATAAAATTCAAATATTGCAGAGAGAAACACTTTATTTTCATATAAGTGGTTGCTGCCCAATTATATTGAGTTGCTAAATATACAGTATACTAGTCAATTGCTGTGGACAACCAATAAAACTTATATATAAATATACTATTTGAATATATATAAGTATTATATATATATATATATATATATATATATATATATATATATATATATATATATATATATATATATATATGTAAGTATAATAAAGCATCGAATTGCTGAATTTCTGGAGGCGAAATAGATGTTTCCTTGAAGTATATTACTTAGATACGAAAGGCTCAACGAGATTCATAGATGTCTTAGCCTTTAGTGTGAAAGAGATTCTGATAGTTGATCCTGCAATTCAATTTGAAAACAATTATGAGGATCAAGATGTCAAAATACAAACAGAAAAAGAGATCTATAAAAAATGCATTCCATACCTCATGGAAAAATTTAGAGAGGAATTTGGTGAAGGAGAATATTCGGTTTGGGGACTTTGGTCCAGGAGCAATTCTACTTTCATCTACGGAGTTTTTGGAAGGGCTGGGCATGGAAAGGAGCCATCTGCAGATTATTGAAGAATTTTAGACTCATTAGGAATCCTGCATCATCATCTGTGTTATGATGATTCTGGCCACTTCGTTATGAGCTTTGCGGACAGCTGGGAGAAGGAAGAAAATATGGAAAAAATTATATTATTGAATCAATAAATTATAACATTCGGTACTTTAGATGATAGGGCTACAAAACGTTATCCTTTTTCTTCTCTCTCATCAGACATTATCTATTTGGACTGATCAGTATGCTGGGTCATTTTGCAACTCAACATAGCAGCTGTACAGTGTTATTGTTCTTCTCTCTTCTCCTTCTTTAACATTCAATTTCTCTTTCTCTCTCCTCTCTCTCTTTATTCCTTTCTCATATATTTTTTTGCTCTTTTTTTTTAAATCTAATTTCCACTTACTAATGACAGATATTAAGATGTTTAAAATTATACAATAAAAACAGTAACAAAAAAAAAGTGTTTATTGAACAAGAACTAAATAACATTTTCTATAAACAAATATAACAAACAATTTCAATTAATAACTAACTAAAATAACTAGACGGGTGGAGAAGATGTCATTGTCCAGATGTTCCGAATGTCTATAGTCGGTTCTGGTCTGAAGTCATTTAAATGCATTCAATGTGATTATGACACCATTTTATAATGATGTTTCTGTTGACAATTATTCAAAATTATTTTATCATTTTATTGATTATATTAATTTAAACTTAGGTTTAAAATGCAATATGTTTTTATTATTTTTTAATTATTTTTGCTTTCTATTAATTTTCAGATCCAACTTTTTGCAATGGAAATGTTCATGTAAATGAACCTTCACTACATAAAAGTGTTAGCTCCCTTTGTCTTCCAGTTCTTCATAAAAATTATGAAGCAGCTTGGCTATTAAAGACAGTTTCATTTATTGATCTAACCACTTTGGCCAGTGATGATACTTTTTCCAATGTTTCTAGACTTTGTATGAAAGTAAGTTAACAGTTTTTATAGTTTAATTGTAGTTATAGTATTACTCTCTTGTTGAGGTAAGAATGTTGAACAATAGAGCTAACATGGTAACTCTTGAGCATACTAGTTATGTACCATTTTGCTAATTGGTTTATTTCTCAAACTATTGGAAGTGAACTGCTTTAAAATTCCCAAAGCTGCAAAATCTTAATACTTTTTACTATAATTATAGCTACTGGTTCACCTATCACATAGTTGACTACAGTTTTCAAAAAATAAGCAAAATCTTAAGAGGTACTTAATGTTTGATATAGTCGGGCCAATTTGGTGTGTTCAAGGCGAGTTTTAGAGGAGGTGAAAAATAATCACATTGGCTGTGAACAATATTGTTATTTAGTGAGAAGTGAGTGAGAGAAGAGAATATTTTTGCCATTAAAAAAAATTGTAAAGTGTTTCTACAATTAAACCATTTTATTATCAATATGTTGTAAAATATCATGGTAATAGTAGTCAGACAATTTAAAGGTATCAAAAACACCAGCTCACAATATGTCTCTTGTCTTAATAATTTCTTTTATTTGTCCTATTGGTTTTTGTTAAATTTCAGTTCGATTTTTTTTTCTCATTAAATATTATAGCATGTTTATCATGTATGTTTCATATCTTTATCTTATGCTGATTAATTTTTGAAAACAAAATTGTTTAATTTTTTCGTTTTATGTTTTAGGCAGTACATCCCATTAGTAAGCCAATTTTGTGCTCATTTGCCGAAAACCGGGAAGAATTTGAATTTCTCAAGAAAATTACTGTTGCCGCTGTGTGTGTTTATCCCTCCAGAGTTGAAGATGCTGTAAAACAGCTGAAACTACTTGACTCACCTTTGCCAGTAGCTTCTGGTAGTTAACAACTTCATTTTCAGTAATAACTGGGACATTTATGTCTTTTTTTTTTTTTATAATGTATTAGTAATAGTTCATTAATCTTCAGTGGCTACCGGTTTTCCAAGTGGTCAGTATCCTCTCACAACCAGGGTCGATGAAGTTTCATTTTGTGTTCAAAATGGTGCTTCAGAAGTAGATATTGTTATTGATAGGAGTCTTGTTTTATCTGGAAGATGGGGTGAACTTCATGAAGAGGTAAGCAACCTTTTAGACTAATTTTAGCAACAGTTAGAATTCTATTATTTAACCATCACAAATTGAACTATCTTCTATTGTTGTCTTATTATCAATAAAGCATTAAAAGAAAGCTTTATAATTATAGGTAAAGAATCAAGTAAAAAGTAATATTAAAAAAAAATTTAAACAAATAAATACAATATTTAATATAAATTAAAGATTGTAAAATTATACAAAGTAAATAAACAAATTAAAAGAAACTTGGCCGCTTACATTAAGGGATGAGCAGCGTCCTAAGGTTTTTGAAAATAAAGTATTGCGTAGAATATTCGGACCGAAGAAGGATGAGTTAACCGGAGAGTTCAGACGGTTACACAACGCCGAATTGCGTGAGATGTATCCGGGTAATATAATTGAGGTAATTTCATCGCGGCGAATCAAATGGGCTTGTAAAGTTGTTGGGCTTAGTAACGAGAGAATTCCTAAAAGGTTAATATTTGCTGTGCCGAATGGTAAGCGTCCGAGGGGAAGACCGAAGCGAAGGTGGGAAGATTGCATTAAAGCCGATCTGAAGGGACTGGGTTTGGACGGCGAACGGTGGAGGGAGGTGTGTAACAAGCGATTGGTGGTGTCGGCATCGAACCTTCGGGTTCGCTAAGCCTTATTATTATTATTAAATAAACAAAACATTGCAACCATAATTAATAAGATAGTAACTGTTTGTAGTATTATTTATTGCCCCAGTCTTATGCTGCAATCCAATTTAAAATTCAATGGAACCTCGTGCATCCATTTTAGTAAGATGGCATACCTTGCTGATTTATTATTTTAAATAGTATGATTGCCGTAAGTACCATCATTTTACAAAAGAGTTTGTAGATTCCTCTTGTCTCAATATACTCCAAAGATCTTTTAAAGCATTTTATGTTTGAATCCTAGTAGGTGTTTTTCTAGGACTAGGTGAATTAGAGTTTTTTCCCCCCCATAACTTTTAAATATTATATATAACAATTTTTTAGGTTCACAAAATGAAAGAAGCCTGTGGTGAAGCACATTTGAAAGCAATACTGGCTGTAGGAGAATGTGGATCGCCTGATAATATTTATAAAGCATCAATGGCATGCATGATGGCTGGTGCTGACTTCATCAAGACATCGACAGGTTTGTTTACTTTAGTATATGTTGTTGCACGTATCGTATAAAATACAACACATCAACATATTGTGTTTACAAGTAAGTCCTTTCAGTTTTTGAGGATGAAATAAAACTCAATGTATTATAGACATAAAATTTATTTTAATCTAAAATATATTGACCATTATTGAATATGACTTTTGCCCATCTTTCCACTGACTGCATAATGCTGTGTTCATAGAATGTCTGGAGTTTATTGTTAAAAAAGTGATCGAAGTGGTTTTTGATGTTCTCTTCCTTTTGGAATTTCTTTCCATTCATGGAGTTCTGAAGAGACCGGAATAAGTGGTCACTTGGAGCTAGGTCTGATGAATAGGGAGGGAGGGGCAAAAGTTCCCTTCCAAAGCTCAATAATTTATTGCGAGTAACCAATGAGATGTGGGACCTAGCGTTATCTTGGTGGAACTCAACACCCTTCCGATTTGCCAATTCTGGGCATTAATTTTTATTGATTGATCCAATTTTGTTAATTGTGAGCAGTATAGAGTTGAATCTATTGTTTGTCCTGATGGCAAAAGCTCATAGAAAATAACTCCCTCTGAAATCCCACCATATGGAAAGCATTATTTGACATTATCCTAGGAGCCTCACTATTAGGTCCCTAAAATTTTCTATCGACTACATTATTGTAAAATATCCATTTTTCATGTCCTTTACCAACCTTTCCAAAAATGGGTCGTTTTGCTGTCGTTTCCGTAGTGAATCACAAACAGAAGTGTGTTTTGCCAAGTTGACATCAGTTAGAGAGTGAGGGACCCAAACATTAAGCCTGGAAACATAGCCGAGATTGTGCAAATGGTTTTCTATGCTTGTGTATGACACATTTAGGGTCATAGCAATCTCTCGCACTGATTGGGTGGGATTTTGATCAACAATGGCCTTAACATTGCTCATTTCAATTTCATGTGGGCAACCAGATGTTGAGCATCATTGATGTCAAAATTTCCTGAATGAAATCTGGCAGCAAACCAATTTTGACAGGTGCGTTCTGTTAAAGCATCATCTCCTTAAACACTACAAATTTTTCTATGAACTTCTGCAGCACGCTTACCTTTTTTAAAATAATACAACAAAATATGCCGATAATAAATGATATTTTCTTTCATATTCACAGTGCAATAGCAAACATGTTACTAAGCTAGTTTCAACAAGAGTTTACAGATATAGTTGTTGACACATTACAAACAGGATAAACAATCCACCTTAAGGATTAATTCATCAGATAAGAAGTGTATCATAGTGACATAAAAATAAACAGAAAAACTGAAAGGACTTATTTGCCAACCCAATATGTTTACGTAATATAAGGAATTAATTATTGATAATTTAATACATTCTTGATCTTGATCTAAGGTCAGGAGAAAATATATATATATATATTATAATATTATATATATATATATATATATATATATATTATATATATATATATACATATATAGATATATATTTTGGGGGGGAGGGAGGTGTTAGAATTTTATTTGAATAAATTTGTTTTTAGTTTTCTTATAAATTTATTTGTTAATGCGTAATGAATGATATAATTTACTAATGCAATACTATGACTATGAAGTATAGTTTGCTGTAAAGTTTTTTTCCTTTGAACTTTGTCATTTTAATGGTGGTATTAAATTGATATAAAATTTAAATGGTATTATTAATTTTATATTAAATTAGGATTTTTTTTTTTTTTGTTGAAGAAGTCGTTATTTGACACTACTGCCCATCTCTAGGTCAAACCTTTCAATATTAGCTTTTCCATTTATTTATTCAGTGTGATTGCAATATAATTATATGTATTGAGAATGAACTTATTTCTTTTTCTTGGTATGTCTAAATCCTCATCTCGGACATGAATCATTGTGTCAAACCCAATCTCTTTTTCTTATTAATAAAACATGTATTCATCTCCCCATTAAATGCTTCAAAAGTTCTTGATTTAGCTATCTCCTCCAAAAACCTCCAAATTTACTTCCACAAATTTTATAATAGGATATCTTGGTGACAAGTGATACTAAATAGTTATTTTTTCCTACTTACAAGATCATTGTTGATATCGCCTAACAGGGCTTAATTTCTTCATCTACAGCACTTTTAATTTGGTTTATTTTAAATAATTAACTACCTTCCATAATAAAAACAGGCTCAATATAAACTATGAAAGAATTGGAATATTGACTAAAGGAGAAAAAATGAAAAATGTTTTTTAGGTTCAAAATGAATCTCTGGAAATAATAATCAGAATGTGTATACATACCATATTTTATTGGAAAACTGAGAATTAAAAAAAAAACAATATCTAACATACATAGTCATAGAAAATAATGGAGAATAACGTATAAATTATAAATAACAATTTCTGAAAATTAATATTATTTACCAGAATCTAAATGTTTCTATGGAAACTAAATGAAATTCTAAAAGTAAATGTAAACTTGTAAAATAGTTTTTAAGATTGAAAAAAAAGTTATGTGGTTCAAATGGACTGGTAGAGTTTTCAAGGTTTTTATTGTACATTGTTGATATAATATAGGGGTTACGTTATTTCGATGGTCTTAATGAGGCTTGGTGTTGATAAATATGACCACAATTCACAAATGTGTTCTTTAAAGTTTAGCTCCATTAAAGATGCCCAATTTTTCCAGACAATCATTTCTGTTCAAAGTAGAGCAGTAAGTGAAAACTGTGTGATACGCACACCAGATTTTTTTTTTATTCAATAAATCAGGGTCTATTAATCTAACATGTATAAATAGGATCTTGAGCTGATGTGTGCCTGATGAGTATATTACTATTTTTTCATTTTATTACACTATGTCTTTTTTTTTTAATTATTAATTCACAATTATGTTTTATTTATATTCCATATCATAGAACTCTTCTTTATTTCAGGTAAAGAGGTTATTAATGCAAACTTACCAGCTGGACTTGTTATGTGTCGTGCAATTAGAGACTTCTATAGGAAAACCAATGCTAAGGTGAGCTACTTACTTGGATATTTCTATTAATTTTTTAAATAAGGAAAAATACAATTTTTAACAATTTTGGATCAATTATAAGATATTCTGCTGAAATATAGAAACAAATATTTCTAATGACATTGCAATATGGAAAAATGTTTATATTCTTAATTCTGTCATATTATAGAGACATTTGTTTTCTTCATTATTGTTAAAATCATAAAATCATTATCATTATGTATATATATATATATATATATATATTACCTGGCCACGCGCTGCTGTGGCTTACCCTGGCAAAATGAAAAAGAAAGAAAATAGAAAGCCCATATGAGTAGATTAGTAGAAAAGGACATCTGTCATTTTAAAAAAGTTGGGAAAAAAATTTGTCAATTTGTCTGTTTTTTCTCATGATTCAAATTGAACATTCATAATCATCTGAGTAAATACGCCGTCATTCATAATCATCAGAAACAGTCTGAGTTGAACTTAAAAAATGAAAACTAAATTAAAAAATGAATTTAAAAAACGTATAATAGTGTTGACCCACATAAGGAGAATCATATTAATTCTTCAAATGATAATTTCAATTACTGTAGTAATTATAAAATTTTCGATTAATCAATAAAAAAAAAAAAAAAAATGCTTTCCGACGTTCAGTAGTGAGGAAGAAAAAGGAAACGGCCTTTTCTGAAGAGAAAGCAGTAAATTTTTAAAACTCAATAACTCAGCAACGAACCGTCTGATTTCGATGATTTTTTTTATTTTGTCAGCAATTCAGAAATCTTTCAAGTAAATGTGGGTATTATCGGTAAAAAATTGTGTACTTTTTTAGTTATCGTCAAATAAAATATTGAATTCATCGTAAAATTTTTCAGCTTGTTTTCGGGAAAGTATGTTATACACATAAATTAAAAGGGTTTCAAGGGGAAGACTTTAGCCAAGTTTGGTTAAAATCGGTAAAGCTGTTTTGGCACTACAGTTTATAGCGACACATTTTTTGCTACAGAAAAACATTTACATTTTTATTTTTTTTACATATATAAAATTATCGTAAGACAGAAGTACTAAAGGTAGCACTGAAGGTATTCAAGTACACGAATACTTGAGTACTTGAATACGTTCAGTGCTAATAAAAATGACAGTGTCCTGACTATTTATCACTTATGATATGTACAAGTCGACTAACTTCCTTCAATTATTCCTTCATATAATAGTAATGTGGACTTTAATTTTAAAAGAACATGTCTTTTAATTTTTACCACAGCTAAGAATATTTTAAAGCTAGGTCCAAGTTCATTGTTAGTATTATGACTGACACCTGGGTAAACATTATTATCATTTGTATATTTTGTTAAGTTTTTAAAAACCGGGAACGAATTATTTGGAAGATAAATTGATTGTTTGGTTCCAAGGTTGGTTTGAAACCTGCTGGAGGGGTGAGGACTTGGAGTGATGCATTTCCATGGCTTGAACTTGTTAAGAAGGAGCTTGGAAAGGAATGGCTAGATCCACAACTCTTTAGAATAGGGGCTTCTGGTTTATTGCAGGATCTTGAAAGAAGACTGTATCGCTTAGCAAATGGCATATCACCGCCATCTACATTTTTTAAACAAATATAATTGATTAGATATTTGAAGTTTGTATTATTCTAGTCAACTATTTTTGCCAATTTATAATATATACAAGCATAGGTTAAGGTTACCGATAATTATTTTGAAATACTACTTAATAGTAGGTAAGTCAATTTTTTAAATATTAATGATTGTGGTGTGGGCTTTAAAATACGACTCATGTCTTCCAGTTGTTTGACCATTAATGCAGAATGTTTTTAAATTAATGTTAGAGTTTTATTACTTCAAACTGTACTATGTATTCTAATAACTGTACTATGTCACCAAAATGTTACCAAAGTATTTTAAAAGTGATTTTGAACACTTCTTAGCTCCTGCAAAATTTGTTAGCGGTTGAGAATCATGTTTTAAAATCAGTTGTTTTTATATATATATTTCTGAACACCTGACCCCTTACTTAGAAGGATGTTCTGTGCGGATTTAATCTTACAGTATTTCGAGATGACCAGTGAGAATCCTGTTATATCAAACATTAGAGTCATCTACGTATGGTGAATACAAGTGTTCAACTTTTTTGAGAAAACATTTTCTATTTTTAATTTTTTTAAATTTGTCTTCAAACTTATCCTTTTTTATAGGTATCAATTAGTTTCATAAAATTGTAGAAAATATATTAATTTTATTATTTACTGCAATGTAACAATAAAATGATTGTTTCCTTCCCATATTCTGTTTTCATTTTATTTATTTATATGTTAATCATAAGGAGACAATAAAGATAAATCACAGGATAGATATGAATTATATCGATGTTTTGGCTCGCTTTTGCAGGCATTTAAAAGAAAAAGGAAAAACAAGAATTGAAGGGGAAAAAACCGTTGTGTGCAACTAAGAGGCTTGGTTGAGGTTGATCTTGCCTATACACTAGGTTAAAAATTGGTAAGTAATAATAATATACAGTTATTAAATTTTATTTTGACTGCCTCTCCCCCTATTACCATATATTATATAATTATTACCAATATTATAAATCATAACGTACACAATGAAATAAATAATAAAATAACTTAGCTGAATTTATTTTATAATAGTTTGATTTTATAGTTGGATAAGAGGTTAATACAATTTTAAATAAATATATTTTATTATATTTAATCTTTATAAGATTATTTTTTTATAAAACTGTTATTTAATCTCACTGTCCTTACTTAAAATTTTAAAATATTATTACAATATTTAAAAAATTATTATTTTTAACGTTTCGGCTCCAAGAGCCATTTTAAAAAGTTCTTTTTTTTTTTTTAAACAAAACAAAACTTTAGTCAAAATTAGAATAACATTATTATTAAAAATTGTTTCCTTAAAATATATCCCTATAAAAAAAGAGGAGAAAATTTGTGGATTTTCGGAAGAAAAAGAAAAAGAAAAACAAAGCATTTTATAAATAATAAAATAAGTACTAGCATAGAGTATTATTCTATATAATGATATATTTTAAGGAAACAAATTTACTAATAATGTTATTTTAATGTTGACTAATGTTTTGTTTTTTTAAGAAAAGAAAAAGAATTTTTGAAAATGGCTCTTGGAGCCAAAACATTAAAAAATAATAATTTTTTTAAAATTGTAAGTAAGGACTGTGAGATTAAATAAGAATTTTATAAAAAATAATCTTATATAGATTAAATATAATAATAATTAAAAAATCTCACATAAGAAATGAATAACTTAAAGAAGGTTGTTTATCATAAATATAAATATTTTTTTATCATAGCTTGTTTGATAAAAACTTTATCCTCTTGTTTGAAAATAATCTGAAAATTTTATTTTTTGTTCATTATTATCTGGATCACTGGTTCTACGATTATTATTTGTCTTATCATTTGAACCCTCATGTTTCATTTTAGATCCATCCCTTTCATCTCTTTCATTTCGGGTAAAACAACTGCCCATCTTGTCTTTGCTGCTATTATTAGTCTCATATTGATGCCTGTTGTTGCCTCTTTCTCCTCTTTTAGGTTGTGATTCGTCTGGATCATTATAATTCATGTTGGAGAAAGTATTGCTGTTATCTGTAGTACGATTACTGTTTGTATCCCAATCCTCACAATTCTAGAGAAAAAAAAATTAAAAATAACATGATTTTTTAAATAATTAATTGGCTAATTCATTGTCTTATGAAAAATTACTTATTATACACTTGATGTTAAAGCTTCTGGTTGAAATGAAAATTACAAAGCATAATATTAGTCTAATTTAAAATAATTAATAGTTGTTCCCTTTGTGACTCCTTGAAAAATATCTTTCTAGCCACTAAAAACTCCATTCCTCATTCTTTTCATGGTCTTGATGATCCAGAAGAAAATCCATCAATTGTGGCTATCTCTGTTCCAGGTTTGTTCGTATAATTTGTATTTTGAATATTAAAGAATAATATATGTTATAAATATTTATTGAAACTTATTAATGGGTTATATGTGTCTCGAAGGTGTAAAATGGTCACAGACACCAACAGGGGTTTCCAGAAGGAGGTTTCATGGCGCATGTTGTGTCATCAAAATTTTTGAGGGGTGCGAAATTTCTATAGGGTTATGAATTTTCGGACTAAAGGACAAGGGGAAAACATGGAACATAATGTAGCAAGTGTAATTGTATATGATCTACAATTTTTCTATTTTTATCTTAGATTGCTTGGTTTTTAAATAAAGGTAAGCAATAAAATATTTTGGGAGGAGGGGAAGATTCTTGCGCCAACGACCTTAGGGGGAGGGATAGGCATTCCTGTACACAAATTTACCCCCTTTGTTTTATGAGGCCGCAGTACATTGCCATTTAAATTATTTCTGAATTTCCCTATCATTTTGATGAAAAATGACTGAAATATCAGTTGTCATATCTATAATAGAATATCTTTAAATCAGAAATACAGACACATCTTGTTAAAACAATAATAATAACCTGAAAATATTTTCAAATTTTGAACTCTAAATTTTTACATCATTGAATATACAGCTTAGTTTAAAAAAAAAAATATTTTCTTATAATAGATATCAACTTATCTATTCGCTAATTCTTTTAGGTTTTTCACTTACATTTTTTCCTTTCTCTTCAAGGCACAAGGCAAATTTCTTTGAGTTTTCACATTTTCCTTCACTTTTTTCTGAAATAAAATGGTATATTTTATTGAATAAAATGTACAATGCTTTATTATTTTTATTAAAAAATATATTTAATAATTTAATTTTCAATTTTCAACTGGTAATAATGTTTATCGAAATAATTGACTCTTACCATTATCAATTTTGTCAAAACATTCATTTATTGAATCTTCCACAAACTCTTTCAGTTCAGAATTCCTTATTTTCTGAGTCAAGACATGCATTGTGTTGGTTTTGTCAACCTTGTTATTTTGGTTTAGCTGTAAATAATAAGATTTTTACAGAATGCTAACTAATACTAATAACTTTAATTATGATTCATATATTGGTAAAATAATCCACACTAACCATTTTCTTCTGCTTGAATATGCAGTGTATGATGCACTGTAAAATAAATATTTGTTTATTAAAGATAGATTAGCTGTGATTGATTATATTAGACAACGTATAAGATAGCAGTATTAACATCTAAATTTTTGTTTCTATATTGTGATTATTCTTGAGTTATTGGCAAATAAAATTGTGAATGTATCGTTACTTTTTCCAAAAAAATATTTGAATTCGGTGAAAATTTAAGGAAAACAATTTTAAATTTCGATTGTTATGAAAATTTGTATTTGACGATTTTTCCAGATATGAAATACCAATCTCAATTTGGTTTCTTCTTAAAAAAATATTTGAACCCACACTCCGGTAGATACAAATTTTTTCGTTTATACTTTGTAATTATACTATAGCTATATTCTAAAGAAAAATTTGTCGTAATAGAGCTATCCCAAAAAATATAAACCAAGAAAAATTTCTTATCGGACATGATTCTTTTCCGTTTCGGTGATGTTGTTTTCATGATGATTTTGAAACAAAAGGCCAAAATAGTTATGAAATGTACTCCTGAATCGTATAGCAACATTGTATAAAAATTTCAAAGCAATCAGCTTAAGAACTTCCAGAGATTAACGGTTTTTAACAAACTGATATTTATATATTTATGTATATACACTGTTCCAAATTTTTTTTTGATTGATGACACTAAAGCTCGTCAATCATACTTAAAAAAAAAGAAAAAAAAAAAAAGAGGAAAAGAATGTAGGTTTTGAAACGGAGGAAAAAAAGAGAATGAATTGTTTTGCCTTTGCCTATTTATATAATAATTGCTTACTGGCTGGCTGACTCATCAATAATTTTGAAATTTCTTCAACAAATTATAGTATTATAATTATAGTATGAAGTTTAATTCATCGTATGTTTTCTAAGAAGACAATAAGGATGCTGTCTAGAAGAATTGAATCTAGAGGTATTATAAAAAGTAAATGCAAGAACTTAAAACTAGCTGCTATTTTAATAAAATAAAATAATTGTGTAAGAATAATAAAGGAATCTCGACTTTGAACCATTGAGCAATTTTAGAGAAACATCTATAATGAATTGTTGATTTTGACTGTCAAATAAACAATTAAGCATATTAATGTTATGTATGAAATAGTTGACTGTATTAATAATTAAGATGTTGAGAATTGAGAATGATACTAAAAAATAGTGGATTGGTTATACTCTCATTTTAATCATTTTCTTATTAACGTCAGTACCATGTTAAAGTAACAAATGTGCAATGTTAAACAAGCTCACATTCGTTACTTTAACATGGTGCCGACGACATTAAGTATAGACTTTAAAAAATGAAAACACATTTAATCTTAACTGGTTCTATGGATTCTAAAGGAGATCCAATATTTCTTGAGGTTTGATTTCTCCTTGTCCCGTACTGTTTTGAACCTTGATAGGTGTTGCCCTGATATTTTTGTGTAGTTGATGAATATGGTCTTCTTTGTGTATTTTTATCCCTGTAGTTAGAATTATCATTGTCATATTCATTATAGTCATATTCTTCTCCATCTTTTCCATAGTTATCTGAAATAGTAAAAGCAATTAATATCAAAGAGCAAACAATAAAAAGAGACATCAATTGACCTCTAGAATTAAATTGTGAATATTAAAAACTCAATATCTTGGGTCATCAAAAACATTTAAACAGCTATTCGGTCAATGTTTACCCCATAAATTGATCAGAGTAGAAAAAATAAGACTACATGTATAGAAATGAAATACAGCTCATTTTACATCATCTTGTAAGAGTGTGTGTTGGAGTAATATATTGTCTTTTGTCGATGTGAGGTTTTGTGTTTGTTATACTCCAATATAAAATAAAAAGATATTTAAAAACTGCTTATTTCAAAGTCTGATGGGAATAATAAATATTTTTTTATCATTAATTTGGTATATTACTGTACATCTTAGTTTGATTTTTTTCACTTCAGCTTCATCAATTTGTTCTCTTGATTTTAAATAGAAAAATTTCATAATTTTATGTTTCTGGTCCAAATTTACCTTTTTCTGCCTTCGTGTATAACGTTTTTTGTTTATTACAGAAGAACAAATAGGGAAAATCCTTCCCTCCCAAATAACGCTGAGAAAAAATTATGGCTTGTTTAGGGTCTCACCCAGGGTCATAATGCCAGCGGGCATGTGTTAAAGAACTGGCATAGGCTACCATACATGATTGCTCCGGTTGTATGTCATTGCAATGGATGTTAAGATGCAATAACTATTAAGATGACAAAAATGTACCAGTTCCACAATTATTACATCACCTCTGTCAGTGATAGCGCATTTTTGTGTTGTTCATGGACTAAATGAATAATAGTAGTATGATACTTGACTGTTGTGAATAATTGAAGACTTGTCAAAAATGAACAAATTAAAAATAAATATCATTATTATTCTAATTTGTTTATTTTTGACTGACCACCCCAACCAACTTGTCTTCAATTTAATGAAAAATAGTTCAGGGTTTACTAGTGTTATTATGTATTTTATGTAAAACAGTTAATTCCTGTATTTTAATGTAGTAATAATTTTCACTTTCATGGTACCTTAATCCTCAAACAGATCTAGGATTTAATTTTGGGGGTTTCAGCCAGAAAGCTTTGTATATATATAACGATTATTACTCTGGAAAAAGAAGAAAGGTCCTAACTGCCTATATAAAATAGTGTTAAAGTTATTCTTAAATTTCTATTAAATGTAATTACAGGAACAATAAATTTTTAGAGATAATTTTTTAATTTGGCGAGAGAGGCCCCCCTCCCTCCGTAGATCGATTTGTTAACATTCCTGTGCCTTAAATGATATATCAACATTATTTAAAAAAATAAAATACATCATATATTCGGAGGGACATGGGCCGGCCGCTAAGTTTATTGATTTACGTAATTATTAGCCCATTTTCTTGAGGAAAAATGGTTCGACGGTCATGACCAGTGAAGCGGAAGAATCTCGTGTGCTCATGATCATCCGATCTGTAAACCCGGCCCTGTTACATATTTGTATTTATTCTTGACCTTTCAGGATTTTCACCCCATCTTATAACTTTCAAGTATAGGAGACGATGTGGCAGATCGGGTTAACGTGTGTACCAACAGACGTTGTCCGTCAACCTGATAAAACGAAGTTTAAATGATAAAATAATACGAGTTCGCGTGCCAGGGGCGGTGGAGGGGAGGAGGAGAGATTTTAACTCAAGCATTATCCCTGGCCCTCTTCCCTGGCTCGGAAAAAAGCCAGCATAACCTAAAAGCCGAGGAAGGGATGGACAAAAAAATATAGACGATTCTTGTGAATTCTTGCAATACATTTCCTCTTGCTCATTCCTCGTTTTCAATCATAAATAAAAATTAATTCCTAACTTTTGTGTAATGCCAAATAGAGTACCGGCGTGTATTTGCGAAGCATCAGAACGCTAGTTACTTACCCATGTATAGAATACATAGCATTGAGAAACATTAACAGATAAGACAAGATAATCTTTATTCGAAGAACGGAATGAGAAAAAAACGGTCAGTGAGGAATGCGTCACTGTAGATTATGAATCAATCCATCGGATCTTTCGAAGTTAGAAGTCTCTTAGCCTTAGCCTTCTTTCACAGACCCATCGCTTTTCGTTCCACCGTTGAGGTGATAGTGGAACTAAAGTAAGGCAGTTCTATCGGGGAACTATATTTCTTTAAGGTCAAGTTCTTACTTTATCACTCCGACTGAATCATTTTAGTGACAAAGTTCATTAAATCCTTCTATTATCTGAAAACTTTTATTTATTTACCATTTCCATTGCCTCGGTAGTATGAGCCTCGGCAACCAAACATTGCCCACAGAAAGAGCTTTATTTATTTTTATACTATTCAAAACGTCTATGGAAAAAATGACTAAAATTAACTGATGGAATGTATGATTTATTTAAATTAGCGAATGCCAAAAAATATATCATATTCATTTCCACATAGAAAAAACTTGAATGATGACGAATTAACATTACTTAATTGAATGTTATTATATTAATTTATATTATGGTGAACTGAAGCATTATTGCCTCTTTTTGAATCGTAAATTATATTAAAGGATTTAGTACCTTCTTCTCTGGGCTGGATTTTGCTAACACTTACTTTTTATTTTTTTCTACAATTTTCTGAATTTTATTATTTTATAATCTCTGTCTCTCCTTCCGAAAAAAATAAATATTGCTCCATTACTATTTCTATTACCTACATATATTCTATCAAAGTGTTAAGCCCAGAGAAAAAAGTTCCTCTTTGTAGTCACTCATATTTTAGTAGTCTTAATTTAAAATTATTATAATTTATTTAAAATTTAATTTAATTTAAAATATGAATTAAAAGTATTCTTAGTTTAAAATTTGATTTAACACATTATATTTGTACAAAAAAAATTATTTAAAAATTGTTATTCTTTATGAAAAACAGAACTTACCTTAGTTCAGCCTCTTGAAAGTCTCCTTTAAATGGTTTTAACGAAGAAAACCTCTTCTTGCGTTCAAAGTAAATTTAGTCTAGTTTACATTGAAATAATTTTTAATTATCTAAATTAAATATTATTTTAGTTATCATTTCATATTAAACAAAAATTCCTTGGATTACTTAAAAGTCACAAAAATTCCAACTTTGATGCGGAAAATCGGAACATGGTTTATATGATTTTTTTTTTGTTCCAAGATCACGTCTTTAAATATATCTATTTACATAGGGGACACATTGTATGTTTCTAAAATCTAAAGAAAAAAATAATAATAAAATAATTAAATTTATGGTATTTGAATCCTACTCATTTAACTGAAATATTTACTATTTGGGACCACTTGTCTTGATCCGTCGCAGATAGTGGTAGTTAGTTCGGTAATATCGGGTTTTTTTCACTAGCGGACCCAGAATTTAATTTTGGGGACTTTAGCCCGAAAGCTTTTTTTTTTCATAAAAATAACGATAATTACTTTGTAAAAAAAGAAAGAAACTAACTACCTATATGAAATGGTGTTTAAGTGATTCATAAAGTCCTTTTAAATGTTATTACATGAACAATGATACTTTAAGAGATAATTTTTTAATATTTTTTCCATAAAAAATGGTTATACTTTACCATTTTGCTGAGGAGACTTCCGGCCCAAAGCCTCCTCCCCCCCCCCCCGTAGATCCGCCCGTGGGTTTGTTTATTTAAAATTATACTTATTTTTTTTGTAAATGTATCATATTTAATTAGTATTGCTTAAACATGTTACCTTCTTTTCCACGTTTTCCTCCAGAAGAGTTTAATTTTTCTTGTTGCTGATTTCTAGTGAACCCTTTGTTTCTATTATCTTGATCTTCTAAAAAAAGAAAATATGTTATTTCATTTGAAATGGAACTATAATGTTTCTTAATCCAGGTGAGAGACTTAATTATAACTTTATTGATCTCTTTTTGTCAATTATTATAACTTATTATTTATGAACCTATTTTCACTTACTATTATTCTTAGGTGTATGCCCGGATTGCCAAGCCCTTAAGCCCGGGGGCGATCTGATTTATTAGGTTTATCGTTAGTTAATTTATATAATTTTTATTTTATCATTTTTACACATTCAGTATTTTTAAAAAAAAGTAGTGACCATAGATTTCTTCTCCAAATATATCCATATTGTTTTGGTATCTAGACCATTTTCCTCCCCCTTTTTACTTTCACTTACGTATATATGTAATATATAGTAAGGGTAAGTATTGCGATCGTGAAAATTTTCGAATCTCAGTTTTCAACAGTTTTGAGGTCTCCTGAGTTCAAATAACCAAGTATCGCAAAATGGTCTGTGTGTGTGTGTGTGTGTCTGTCTGTCTGTGTGTGTGTTAACAGCCTAAGCTCATAAACGAAAAGTAGTAAGAAACTGATATTAAGTATTTAAGGTTTGTATATGGGCCGGATGTGACAGCAACTTTTTCGTTAAAATCGGCTAACCGGAAGTGCCACTTTATATAAACGCTGAAACACATTTTTAGAATTCTCTCAAAAACGGCTCTAACAATTTTGATGAAACTCGGTGTATCATTGTATAATTAAGTGGTCTTTAATATCATTTAGGTCTTATCCCCGTTGATGTCACTTTACAGAGCTTAAATGCCCAATGTCCATATACTAAAGTACCTTTAGTATGCTTTATTTTAAAAAGTTAATTATTTCGCATTATTCAGAGTTACTAAAAAATGCTACATATAACTTTTGAAAGAATTTGATAAGTTAATAAAGTAGAAAAAAAAAATAATAATGCAGAAAAACCTGCGTTGCTATAGACTGTAGCGCCTAAACGAATGTACCGTTTTCAATGTAACTTTGCTAGAGTCATTTTCTCGACACCCTTTAAATTTATCTATTTAATATACTTCAACGAAAAGAAGCTGGAAAAAAAGTTACAAGGGATGGTAAAATTAAATTCCACATAACTCAAAAAATATAAACTTTTTTTAAGTTGTTCTTTTTTTAAGAAACATAGAAGCTAAATAACGGTTATATGTAACAGGTGTTACATTCGTAGCCTTTTAGTAACTGCCTAACAGAAACCGACAAATGATGTAACGGATGGATGTTTGTCGCCTACGACTGTGTAGCTAGCCAAGAGTGACCACGGAGCTCTACTGTATTGGTTACATGCTTCACTTCAGCACATTTTTTTTTCATGTTATTTTTAAAAGTTTGATTTCGCTCGCCATAAGATAATACAGAACTGATGGCTAATGCGCAGGGTTTCGATACGTAACGCACCACGAATATATTTTACTTCCTCATCCCCTATGGTAGACTTATCCTTGGGTCCTATAATATTTTAAAACAATGTTATTTCCTCGTCTTTACTATCTATTGTTTTTTAGTATTCCTACGTTCTTCTGACCACCATAACTGTTTCCGTTGAAATTTCACGAAATTTATTTAAAAGCTGTTTGTGTCCAATCCAGTGGATTACATACGATAATTCGATTAAATCATAAATATGATGGACTGATGGTAAACAGCATATATATTTTTACTTTTACAAACCCATTTATAAAATATATATTATTGGAATGTATTGTAATCTTGAAAATTTCTGAATTTAAATTTCTAACGAAATATATACGTTTTAAGGTTCCCTGAGTTCATATAACTAAGTCTCGCAAAATGATCTGTGAATGTGTGTCCTGTCTATGTACTTGAGCATGCTACCTCTAAAACAAAAAGTCGAACCCAACTGAAAGGGGGATACTTGAGATCTTATGTATCTGGATTGCCATTATATACAATCGATTTTAAAAATGTCTGTAGGTTCCTCGGAAAAGCTCCAACGATTATTATAAAACTCGTTATATCATATAAATATATATACTTCAATCTAGCATTAAACGTCAGTTATTATCCTCATTGAAATAACGGGACAGAGCTTACATGCTGAATTTTCAAAAAATTTATTGATCGAAAATATTCTGTTTATTTAAAATATTTGAACGTCTTACATTGTTAGTAGTAATAAAGAATGGACGTGTTCAGACTATAAATGGATTTTATAATCAAATAAAAGAGAAATATTTTTACCAAGTTAAAATAAAGTTTCGGAAATAACGGTAATAATATGGATAAAGATTTTAGAAAAAATAACATGTAATATATAAAGTTGAAGGAGATAATGTAGAGTGTAACTGATAACTAATAATTGTGCTATTATATTATCGAATGGAAACAAAATGAAATTTTCATATAAAATAACTAAAAACTTTAAAATTGTATTTTCAGCTTGACAAACGAAATATTTAGTTATATTTTAATCAAAATTATTGTACTTCATATTAATTTTCGTACGTTTAATTTATAGTTAAGTGATTTACTCGAGATTTAATTTCGTATTTAAATTTTATTACTATTGAAAGTTGAGGATGCACCACACTTTTTTTTATTATATTTTATTTTTTATTATTTTTTTTAATATTTTTTATTTTGCTTTTGGTTGATTCCTCTTAGAAATGTTAATTTAAATGAAATGAGCAATATTTTTACTTTCATTTACCCATATATGTAATACATAGTAAGGGTAAGTATTGCGATAGTGAAAATTTTTGAATCTGATTTTTCAACGGAAATACACGTTTTAAGGTTCCCTGAGTCCAAATAACCAAGTCCCGCAAAATGGTCGTGTGTGTGTGTGTGTGTTAACAGTCTTGCTCAAAAGCGACAAGTCTTAGGGAACTGAAATTGCATATTTTTATATGCTAGGAATGTTACAGCAGGCTTTTTCGTCAAAATCAGCTAACCGAAAGTGGCACTTTATATAATGCACTAAAAACATTTTTACGATTATTTCGCTCTAACAATTTTGATTAAATTCTTCATATCAGTGTAAAATTGAGCAGTTTTTAAATAAAATGTGGTTATTATTCTGATTGATGTTCTCTAACGGGGCTTAAACGGCTAATTTTCTATATTTGCTTCCTCTAAAGTACCTTTAATTTTTTAATAATTAAATAATATAAAATATGAAATAATTTGATAAATCACTAAAGGAGAAATAAGATCGTAACGGAAAATAATTGTAATTGAGGAAACAAAGCAATACGAGCGCACCCAAGCTCGCCAGAAAGATTAGAACACGCTTCCATACTTATCATGATATTAATATAATCCGTACTCCGACAATATTATGTTCATATTCATATATGGTTTTCATAAATGCTATTGTTGGTATTATTTAATATTTAATTGTATAGATTACAGCGATATAATTATTAAAATTTTTATATATGAGGGCACTTATACAAATAGAAATACCCACAATGAAATAAAAATAAATATAGAGTCTATAATTTTTACTTTCACTTCGCTTTGTCTGAAAATACTTATTTCTGCTAAGAAGAGGGTGGTAAGTGAAAGTTGTGTGATGCGCGCACCACACCAGATTTTTATTTTGTGTGTTGTATCTTATTTTATTTTTTAACAATTGCTTAAATAATTTCTCAGTGATTAAACATATAAATTACTGTTTATATTTTTACTATTTCTTCTTTAGAATAGAATAATAAAAAAAATATATTCTGAGAACATGAGATGTATCTATAAATTAAAAAATCCTTCAACAGCTCTACAACAATAATCTACAAATAAAAAATCATCATATAAATAGAAAAAAAGAAAACGAATTTTCAGTCAATACGAAAATATACTAAAAATAAAATAAAAATTTATATTTTAGAGATGGGTAATTAGTAGACTAATCAATTATTAGGATGAATAAAATTGTCAGGATTTGCAGTCAAGAACTTTTATTAGGTTAGCCGATGTTTCGACCCAAAGATGTGGACCATCATCAGGTCTTTTGGGTTTGTTCTAATTCTGGACTTGTATGAATAGAACTGTTTAATGTTTACTTCAATAATAAAAATATTAACAATAATTTTCATTTGTTCTTCTGAATTTGCGGCAATCCAAGGCTGAATTAGAAACTCGCCCAAGGTTTAGAATCAAGGGAACTATAGCGCATCTCGGTGTAGTAAATGGATTTGCTAAATACCCGTGGTCATAGTCAATTAGAGAAGACCCAATTCTTCATCGATTCGATCGGCCATTTCACGGTCCCTATCGAAATACTGTCTGAGCTTTGTTCAAGTTTGACTTCTCAGTTTAAGTTTCGGGGTGAAGGTTTCTTTCTTACTTTAATTAAAGGCCAATGTGTGGGAAGGCGGATACTTTCTTCGCTAATTAAGACTCTCTCTATCCTGTTGTTTGTGAGCCAACAGGAATTTTAAAATTGTACGTACTGAGATTCTGTTTTATTTTGGGATAATATCTTTGTGTTATACATCGGTGGGTTAATCTTAATATTCCTTCAATGCGAAAATGCTGACACTGTTATTTTGTAATAGTTAATTAACGCTCTCATACACTCTTATTTGGGTTAGAAGGGCCTATTTACTAATTATTCTACTATGGCCGAAATGATAGGGCCAATATTCATATACGTCGTCGACACCATATTAAAGTAACGAATCATAACCTGTTTAATGTTGCCCATTCATTACTTTAACATGGCGCCGACGATTTGACAAGATTATTATTATCCGAGACTGAATTGAATTGACACAGAATTGTTTTTTTATTTATTTATTATTATTTGATTTTTTTTTTTTTTTTTAAATCACTTGTATGGCTTAAAATGACTAAAATATATGGTTTGGATGTTTCCGTTTCCGAGCTCAAAATTAAGGCAAATCATAATTTTTTTTTTTAACGTGTATGATAGAAAAACTTTATGTTGGTTTCAGTATTGGTTACTCCACAACATGGCATGTGACTTTCAATGGAAGATAACGACACCTTTTCGTTCCAAATCGACGCCCCAATGGTGCCTACATAAGAGCTTAGGACTGGGACTAGCAACCAACAATCGTTTCATATCAGACTAACAAGAAGTGACGGCAGAATCATGTCTACTGCAGTACACACGGGTTTTAAAAACTGTGAGATTAGTGATAAAATTATGTAGACAAGAAATCGGCAAGTCACCAACTCCCCTCATTCTTTCATTTCCGTTTAAGATCATCAACCAATTTTGTTTCTCTCCCTCCTCATGGATTCTCTTACTACAAGACACTAGCGGATCCAGGATTTAGTTTTTTTTTGAGGTGGAGAGGTTGTTCTTCAGAATGAAGACTATTTTTAAAAATATTAACGATATTTACTTTGGAAGAAAAAGAAATAAATTACCTATCTACATGAAATAGAGTTTAAGTGATTCTTTAAGTACTATTAACAAGAACAATGATTATTAAATTTTTTTTTTCATAAGACGTGGTTATATGTCACCATTTGGGGAGGGGGCCTTAAGACCGAAAGCTCCAACATTGATCCGCCTGTGCATCATATAATAAATAATACTGCTCCTTTAATTTCAGAAAAGTGACCTTTGTGAGGCGCTGCTTCTGGCTCGAATGTTCAGATGGTTGCCTCTACATTTGGCTCCTCACATGTTATATCAGTAACATAAATGATTTAAATTTTTTATGAACAAAACTATGTTTTAACTTTACCTTTGCGATAAGTCGAGACGCTGCTCTCCTCTCTCAAGCAGTTGCGAACGATATCTTCAAACTCATCTTGGGATTCTTCATCCTGCTCCATCCTACACCTCAGGCCCTGCCTCATAAGTTATAATTTTAGATTATTTAAATAGATAAGAGATAAAATAATCGATAGAAATTTGTACCGTAATGATTTTTTTTTCTTTTAACTTGCCTAGTTTATAATAATAAAAAATAGTTCTTAAATAAGTTATGGTTATTTATTTAATCATAATATATATTTAAATTTGTATGACCTTTGTATAACCCATTGGATTTTTTTTCTAAGAGAAAAGAAATCTGAGGAGTTTTGATTAGTTCACGAGCCCCTATGTGAAACATTATATTTTAGTGTTTTCCCCCATGCCATAATGTTTTTTGTGTTTTCAATCATCTGTCGGTAACAAGATAAATATAAAAAAAGTTGGCTTAGTGCTAATATCGCAGTTAGTTAAGTTAGATAATTCTATTTCCCATAGTTTGTGAAATGTCTAAACACAATTTAATATATTATTTCTCAAATGTTTTTTGTCATTACACCACATCTTTGTTAATTATTTATCAAATATAATCATTGGGTAGTTATTTTGATGATTATGTTCTCCTTCATGACGGGAAAATAAAAACATCCACCTAAAAATCAGTAATGGAAGTTATGAAGAGAAGGAAATTTTGTTTGCGCATAACGCGAAAAGTACAGTACATAGGTACAGTATTGTGTTATATAAAAAAGAAATTTCCAACGAAAGTGGAAAGAAATTTCCAACGAAGCATAAAAAAATATCCCAATTTTTAAAGACACAGCCAATTGTATTTTATATACTTATTTTTGTTTATTATTTGGGAACAAATACGATAATCGATAAAAGATTTTTTTTAAACTTAATTTTTCAACTCACACCTGTCAGAAGTCCGACAATCATCGAGTGTGACGTCAAGATATAGAAGATTAATAGTTCTTGGAATAGGCATGAGGAAGAGGAGTACCCAGCGGCGTCCTTCCTGTCTTGAATTTAATATTCATAGTTAGTAGAGGAGATCCCTCATTCAGCTTCTTTTAAGCCTCCTTCGTGTGCTATCGGGCATGTTAGTTGTGGCGATGCCTCGAATCAATGAGTTATGTCCGTGTAAGTTATAACGAAATCTTTTGTAGTTTGTTCGTATGTGGTCGTTAACTGTTGGCATCTGTAGGTCTTTATTTAAAGTAATGTTACTGATGTATCAGAGAGCCTTGGTGGTAGTCCTGAAAGTTTTAGATTGAAAAGTCTGTAGTTTACATACGTGAGTCTTTTTGGCTGTCCCGTATATCTGCGAAGCGTAGGTCCAAATGGGCTTAAGTAGCTCAGTATAAGCATTCGATTTCTGTCTAAGTTTTAATTTCAAATGTCTTGCAAGGACAATAGTCGTAGTCTTAGGATAAGAGTTTTTGTTTTGTTTTTGATATGTGGGCTTCATGTCATTCTTCTGTCAAAGGTCAGTCCAAAATATTGAACGTCGTCTGTCTGAGGAATTTGGACATTGTCAAGGTAAATAGCAGGGCAATTTTCACGTCTAATGGTAAAAGTGATATCTAGTGATTTGTCTTGGTTGATTCGAATAAATCGATAAAAGATAAAACAATTTATTCGTCTATTTTAAAATGCATTGCATTCATTTTCTTATTATATTTCCATTCGTTCACTGACCAATGTGTCATGCGAATCATTCCCAGGAGCCAACTAGAAATATAATTATTATTTATAATGTTTTATGAATTATTTTAAGTAAATGGCTGTGAAACATCGGAAAAGCATGTCTTCCTTCATAAAATATTAAGTGAGGCAGAAAATGCTCTGCTTTCCCTTCTCCTGTGAATTTTTTATCATATTTTTGAAGTGAAAACTTCTTTAAGTCCGCTTTGCACTTTTTTGGTGGGTATTGAATGAGACTGAGCCGTCACGCTCGAAGATGTAACGCTCATTCGGGCAGATTCGGCTCAAGTCGACTAATTTTTGAATTTGGATTAAAATATCTCGGAAACTAAAAATCGGACCGGAGGACTATAAGCGAGGAAAATGTCCAGCATTTCATACTATTTCTAACACACAATTATTAATATTAATCCCGGTTTGTCGATGTTTTCACTTCGATCGTGTTGTCTTAACCACGCAACGTACTTTTTTTCCTATTGGTTGCCTGTTATGAATACCTGTATGCTTTTCTATGGTATCTTTGTATCTCAGAGACCTTTAAACTTAAAGAGAAATCAGGTATATTTATACTTGGTTTATAAAAAGTTATAAATTATTAAGATATATACACATTTGAACGAATGAAGTATACAATGTGAGACAACCGTGAAACGGATTCAGTCCGTGATAGAAGAAAACAAACCTAAACGCTCGACCTTCTTCTGCATAACTAATAGCAACAATGTACAAGGATAATACAATTTCACACTACAATATTGAATTAAGAAAAGAACTTATGCACATTTAGTTTATGTTTTATAAATATTTTCTTTTAGACTGGGCTCTACTCTACGCATGATGCTAATATATAAAGATTTTTTTATTTATTATATTATAGAAATTTACAACTGTATTAAATGATAAATACAACAAGGAAATTTGAAACAAGTAACATGACATGTACAACATGAAGAGAAACTAACCACTGATATCACTCCAATTATATTTCTATATTAGAGGGTCCCGAGGCCATCTTCTTTTCAGACGCCTCGGAGGGTTTTCAGGAATAGAAGAGGGAACAAGTTTGGAAACAAGATGGTTATGGAAGTTTATTATGAAAGGATAAGTATCTGGATTGAGTTAAATCGGAAACATATGGTACATTAAGGTCGTTATGAATGATTTTATTTCTGACAAAGTAGGGAGCATTCAGGATTTTACGAAGGATTTTGGATTGTAGGGGTTGGATAGGATAGAAATTTGATGGTTTAGTAGAGCCACAAAGCTCGATCCCGTATGTCCAAATAGACCATATTATAGTAATATATATGAGTTTTTTGTAATTAGTTGGAAGTTTAGAGCGTTTGTATAGTAATTACTGCAGTAGACGAAAGCGTCGGGCGATTTCTAGTCGTTTCAGTCTGGTATGGAGGTATTTATAAATATGAAAATATATTCTTGCCATAAAAAATAATTTTTGTTTGCATTATTTTCCTCACTAAGGATAACAAAAATGTTCAGATTGTATAGACATAAATCTTGCTTTAATTAAATGGGAAGACCTGTTACATACATCATAAAAATAAATAAATTTATCGACTGCATCAATAGTTAGGATTGCTAATTTGACGAAGTATGAAGAAGATGCTGCAAAAAGGTTATAGTGAAAGGCTGACGGATTAAGATGGCTTAAGCATCTCCACAGAAATGAATGATCAAGCATTTTATTATCACGGAAATATTTCTATGAGAGGCGTTGTAATAGAAAAGTCGAAGGGTTGCACGAAACAAGTAATATGATCAATACGATGAATGTTGAGTAACAAGAACAAGAATACATAGGCAGATTTCTTTTGAATGAAAAGGTAACAGAGTGTTGTTGCTCTTGATTATAAGTAACCAATACTTTATTATAAACTTACTCATACTTCGTCGTACTTACTCGGCATACTAGAGCTCTTAAGAATCCTGTAGGTGAATATTATGGTTTACCGTTATGTTCATTCGTAATATAATTCGTGTTTCCACGCACTGTATTTTTTGTAAGAACAGTAGAACAGTGAAATTTGTTAAGATGGGTGAGGGAAGGAGTCCTTCGCCTTCGACCTTAGTGGGGATGGTCTCGCATGAAGACAAAGACAAAGCTAGAAGGAATTAGGGATGTTCCTATGGGATAAGTAGAACAGGATAAATTTGAGAAATATTTTATCTATTTATTATTTTTAATAAGTGTAATTGCAGGTGCAATAATAATTTTAAAGATAAAAAAATTATATTTTTCCTTAGCATATGCTTACCATTCGGTAGCTGAACGACATGCGTGGTAATTTAAAAAGAGAGCATATTGAAATTGTTTAAGTATTTGCTTTTTTTTTCTTCTCGCTTTCCTCGCCTTTTAGACTATACGTGATTTTCCTGAGCCAGGGGAGATGGCCTGGGAATTAAACCAAAGTTAAAAGTTCCAAGGCACTGGGATTTGAACTCTATTTTGTGTGGCTTCAGTCTGAAAAGAACTTTCCTCTTTGAGTATGCTAGTGTTCAGCTCTATATGACAGCTGTTGTAGTGAATAGAAGGTTAATTGGAATGAATTAGGTAAAGAACAGCCAGAAACGGTTATAACGAATTATTAATAATTCTCTGTGAGGTTTATACTTGTTGAGATTGAACTTTTTTTATGTTTTCCGGCGTTTAATTTTGTTCATCATCATATAGTTCATGATATATACTTATCAAGCGTACCAAAAGAGTTAAAGGAGAGATAAGTAGGTATTTTATGAATAAATTATATTAGGAAAAATGGTTTAAGTTAGCTAATTCGGTTATGAACTTAAATAATAAAGTTATTTTAATAATGTTGGTATATTTTAGCTAATAAAAAGACCGTTTAAATCACCAACTTGCTGGTCCAAATTATTTTTTTTCTTTTCAAACCTATATATATATATATTTGATTGATACTTTATACGCAATAGCTTCTGTCTCATCATCGAGTTCCTTTTATTCTCCCGTCATCCAGGTTCGTTATATCGTTGTGCTCTTCAAGGCCTACAGTGAGTGAGGTACTTCTCTTCCAATATGGTAGTGTCATTAATGCACACGGACCCACTATCAAGACGAACGCCTCCTGCCTCACCTCATCTTTATGCTAAGTGGTTGGGACCTTGGTTTTCTCCACCTCGGGCAGCGGAAGAATAATTAATGATTATGGGGAACCAGATGTCTGGGTCAAAGGTTAGAAGTTACGTTGGGAACATGTTGTTGTAATGACTACTCACTAGGCACATCAATAGCAATTCATGATAGAATTAACTTAATCGATTGTTGATTAACTAATTTAAACCTTACATAACCATATTCTGCTCTAAATGTATTTGCTTTTCGATCGCTATAGTTTTGAGCACACCC